CTCTCGGGCCAACACTGCTGATGTTTTCACCAAGGCCCTTGGGTCTGGTGATCATCAGCGTTTCAGCATTGCTCTTGGGCTTGTGCCCACTCTGCCTCACCTGCTGGTTGCTTGACTTGCTCGTGTTGTACACTGATATATATCTTTATACCTGCTTGTTTACTCTTGCTAGGTTGTGATCAGTGTACTGCCTTGCTATTATAACTCTGCATGTGAACTGGCCTTGTGGCCGCTTGCTTGTGCTCAGATTGTGTGGTGTCCTTGAGATCCACTTTGAGCTTTGCTTTGCTTTGCTTTGCTTGTTCTCTTTCTTGACTGGTCTTGTGACCGTCTGTTGTGTTTGCTCTCTCCCACTTAGCCTATGGGGGTGTGTCAAACTGTATGTTTGTGTTCTCTCTAGGCTATAGTGGGTCAACACTGCTGATGTTTTCACCAAGGCCCTTGGGTCTGGTGATCATCAGCGTTTCAGCATTGCTCTTGGGCTTGTGCCCACTCTGCCTCACCTGCTGGTTGCTTGACTTGCTCGTGTTGTACACTGATATATATCTTTATACCTGCTTGTTTACTCTTGCTAGGTTGTGATCAGTGTACTGCCTTGCTATTATAACTCTGCATGTGAACTGGCCTTGTGGCCGCTTGCTTGTGCTCAGATTGTGTGGTGTCCTTGAGATCCACTTTGAGCTTTGCTTTGCTTATTCTCTTTCTTGACTGGTCTTGTGACCGTCTGTTGTGTTTGCTCTCTCCCACTTAGCCTATGGGGGTGTGTCAAACTGTATGTTTGTGTTCTCTCTAGGCTATAGTGGGTTAGCCTACAAGGGGTCCAACACCTTAGGGTTAGGTACTTGTACTCATACATGCTACCTAGTCCATCATTCCTGCCTGCTTATTCTAACAAAACCATGACTTATTATAAGCGCATGTATAATTTTATTTTTAAATCCTGATAAACACGGTAACGAAATTCAGTTTTGCAGCGAGTCACATCCATTTTCACATTGTTTGACTCTCTCGAGGGTCTCACTGACTTCGAGTCCAATCAGGATGAGGTGGCACGCCTGCAAAGTGACGTGCCAAGGCTCTTTTCGCCGGCAGAGAATCGCCCTCGCGCGATTCTGACTTCGGACTCTCTCACAATGCGTTTCGATTGAGATTGCAAGACTGACATGTACAATTTGGTGCGCGTAAAATATATTTCTGTAATTGTCATTATATAAGCGCATGTGCTTATATTTTTTACTCAATTATAAGCGCACCCCCCTAAAAAAACTCGGTTTATTATAAGCGCAGGTGCGCTTATATCCGGGGTGATACGGTACTATCGAGGCTGAAGACGAAAAGACAGAAGTGACGCGAAAGGTCGTACGGTTACGAAGGGATATGGACCGTCGGGCAGACAGCATCAGGCAGCAGCAGTGGCGAGGATTCTGCCCAGGCAGTTTGTAACCGTATGGAGTCGCATGGTTGGGTTTCGCTGCAATAAGGGAATGTACCTCTTAGAGTACATGGCTAGCCTAGGTCGATTCGTATTCCCTTGTACTCTTATTTATATTCCTGTATTTGCATGTTATTATTATCTCCAGCATTTTACATCCACTCTGCTATTGAGGTCAAGGGCCCACCACTACTCAGACGTGTGCGAACCTTCCTGAGGTGATCCTAGGTACGATCAACTTCTGATCGCAAAAAAGAGCGGCTCGTCAGAGCTTGGGGTCGGCAGCTCGAGCCAAGCTTTGGCTCTAGCCCTCTGTGGGCTTTAAACTTGGGTCAGGAAAAACGCAGTTTTGCTCCGCAGCAGCATCTCATAGCAGCTCGTCAGAGCATGAGTCCATGCCCATAGCCCGCCGCAGGTTTAGAATGTGAATGGCTGAGGGGGAGAGGGAGAGGGGAGGGTGGGATGGGGAGGAAGAGGGAGAGGAGGAGGAGGAGGAGGAGGAGGAGGTAGAAGGAGAAAAGGTTGGAGAGGGGTGGACAGGGGAGAGAAGCAGAGTGCGGGCACTGGCAGCTAGTAGGAGCTCTGCTGATGCTGCCACGTCAGCTGACACTGATGCTGCTGCTACTTCTCCCTCTCCCTCTGTTTCTGCCTCTCTCAATCCGTCCCTGCCATCATCGCCCTCTTTACCCTCCTCTCCCTCATCATCACCATCATCGCTCCTGCTAATCTTGTTGCTGCTCCCGCTGCTGCTTCTCTCGCTTCTCGTGTTGCTGCCCCTCCCACAATCACCATCCTTGCAATCACCACCACCAGCACCGTTGGGCTTCTTATTGAAGGACTCGATAACAGACTGTAGACGCATGACTGTAATGCCGCGTGCAGACAACAGGGCTGTTAGGGCTCCATCCACAGCACAATCTTCATCGTCATTTCTGCTGAGAAACAGCACCCGAATGCCTTGAGACTCTAACGAGTCTCCCACTAAAGCGGCAACTGCGGCAAGGGGCAGATATCCCTGCTCCGATTGCTCAGTTACGTTTCTCTGCCCGTCCTTCTGCCCAACTTCTGGCCCGCCAACCTGCTTCTTCCACGTGCCCACCACCGAGTCGAAACTATTTTCCTTACCATCCACCCCCGAATCGACGCCACTCGTTACTTGCGTCGCATCCCCCTTTGCTGATGCTGCTTCCGAACCTTCCGCGCTGCTTCGACCCTGTTCGCTAGTATAGCAGTCCCGCCGTTCCAGGCGCAACGCGGCATAGTCACCTCCGATATACTCCCGCCGGTACCAATCCACTAGCGCCACAACTTCGCGAGACGGCTGCAAAGGAAACACGCTTGTCGTTGACCCGATATTCTCAAGGTTCGATAGAAGCAACTGGTGAAATACGCGATACGGGACGTCTGCTCCGATAGGAAGGTCCGAGGCGTTGAAGTTGCGCAGATCTCCGAGAGAAAGCACCGAGGCGTGGTACGATCGAGGCGCGTCGCTGAGTATGGCGCGAGGGAAGTCGGAGATGCTTGAAACGAAGGGTGGCATCCGATCCGTGCGACGAGGGAGGGTTACTCGGGCAACATCGGTTTCGTACAGTTTACTTTTGCGAAGTTCGCGGTGAGAGGACGCGCAGTGAGAGGGGAGAGAGCAGCTGCCAGGGGAATGGCCGCACACGAGACTGTCCACGTGGACAGTCCTCATTCGTCGAAGCCGCAAGAAGCGAGTCAAAGTCATTACACGAGGCATGATCGTCCTCGCGTCGTCGTTCCCCCCGCTGTTCCCGCCGCTGTCTCCGCCGCTATTTTCGCTGGTATCAGAGAGTGGCACGTTACTCAGTCGTCTTGCGAAATTCGCTCTTCCGTCTTCCACGGCGCTGCTAGTACCAGAACCCGCGTTCTGACCGCCGCTGCTGCTGCTGCCACTGGCGATGCTACTACTGCTGGCGCCGGAAAAACACTGTTCCAGGTTTGCGAGATCGAGTACCCGCGAGAAACTAACGGACGGCGGGCCGAAATCACGGTGACGCCGGTTACTAATAGTAATACTATCAGTAATGGCACTAAAGCTACTGGTATCGTCTAAGTGATTCGCGAGATGTCGTGCATCGCCGCAAAGGTCGTTTTCGGGAACGATGAGGGTGCGATTCAGCATCGCCGCTACAAGCACGTACCGCTGCAAGCACACCACGCGGTCCGCCACGTGGCCGTGTGTACACGTGGCCAGAAGGTACTTGCCGTTCTCTGGAGCCCACGTGATGGGCTGCCACGCGGGAACCGCCGAAGCATCAGCATCAACATCGTGCTCTAAATGCCTGCGTCCTGCTGTCGTTAAGCGTGAGCTATCGTTAGAGCAATTCGCGTTATCGTAAACGAGAGATGCTTCCACGCGCCGCTGTAATCGTCCCGCGTTGCTGGTATTGCTGCTGTTACTTGTAGAAAGAGACGAGTTGGCCTTTATCGAGTCCGCTTCGCGACGGGTGGTGTGGTGGACCAAGAAGAGCGATCCGAGGAGCAGCGCCACGCAGAACGCGTACACGGCGCGGTCTGCCCACTTGTGTAGCTGCGCAGGATGCGGCGGCGATTGCGGCATGCAGGTTGGCATCACCAGCGGCTCCCTGAGCCCGCTGAAGTCGCACGAGCGCCTCCAGAAACGGTCGCCATGCGACTGGTGACGCATGTTGGAGAAATGTATGCGTGGGCGGAGAAGGACGACGGGCTACTAAGATGGAGTGAAGCTAGGAACGAGACCAAGGCGTCGAAGGGCTACTAAGGTGGGGCGGTTTTAAGACTTCTAAGAGCACCTAAGCGGGCGAGCGTAGGGATAACCGCGAATGGAGGAGAAAACACATGTGGGTGAGTCGATCAAAATCGAGAGGGTGAGGGCCAATTGTGACAGAAAAACAGAGGGACAGCAACCAAAAAAGCATGAGATTTTTGCGAGCTGACAAGGGGCTGGGTAAACAAAGGAAATGTCGTGAGGTCAAATCGCCTTTCAAACCAAACCCCTTCCCTTCCAAATCTCCGCCGCAGTGCGTCCCCTCCCCTCCCCACCTCAACGCCCCCCTCATTGGATATCGGCGGCCCTCCTCGCACCGCTCGCCGCCGCGCCTCGCAATCGGATGCCCCCCTACCGTGCCACTCACTAGGTTCGGTTGGGAGGTGAAGCCATCAGCGCCTAGGTTTGTGGCAAATCGGCGCCACACCCGCGCAAAATGACAGAAGCAACGCTCCGAGCCTGTAGTTTTAAAAAAATGACAAACGTGAGATCCAGCCTCGGAAAGTTCCGTTCCAGCCTTCAACTTCACGTCCATCTCACGGTATTCGCTAGCGAAACCATTCACGACCTGCACGACTCTGGTTACCTCTAGGTGGTAATCCTTGCGGCATGCGAACACAGCAGGAAAATGGAATTGGGTCCATTTTTGCTTCACTCACGATGAGGTTGGAAAGTTTATGACAATAATGTAAAGAGAAACACTTTCTGGCCAGCTATTGGAGTTTGAATGTGAAAAACAGAACTAGTTGTTATCACCAGACATTCCTATCTACTAATGCTGCCTTTCCAAAACGCATGCTAATCATCATCTGGAAGCACGTCACGCTTCGTTTGAGACTCAATCCTCACTTGAGGGGGGGAATCAGCGTTTCTTGCAATGATCTTGAGGGGGTGTGCCTCAGTATTGAACACCCATTGGTTGAGAGGCAGCACATCATCGGGTGAGAAGAGGAGGTAGAGATACTTGAGCGTCTCAGCAAGAAAGAAGCTCTGCTGCAAGTCGTCCTGCTGAGGAGGGTTCTGAGAGGCCTGGAGCAAGGAGAGAACAACGATGGGGAGGGAAACAAAGTCAAACACTAGGGCCACAGGGGATTTGGTGAGATCCACCGGACCGCATTCGGCAGTGTTTTTGGAAGGTCTGAAGCCAGCCCACTCTTACTCCCGCTACTTGTACACATGGCTAGATCACGGCAACCACTGGCATCCAGTAAGCCCACATATCCGTTTTCCACGCGGCAGTGCTTTTGGAAAGCCTGGAAGACCTCCCACCCCCAGCGCCTGTAGACAGGGTTGTGCATGGCCCTCCACAGGTGTTACCTTTCCAGTCGACAGAAAGGCCACCTCGTGATACTCACATCCAGCAGCCCCACATAGCCGTTTTCCACGCGGCAGTGCTTCTGAATGGCCTGGAAGGCCTCCCACCCCCACTGCCTGTAGATGGGGTCATGCGTGGCCCGCCACAGGTACATCCACGCCTCCACTGCCTCGGGCCTCAAGTTGTTGTACTTGCGCCCCTCCATGCGCATGCCCTGATGTGAGGTGAGCATGGGTACATGAGGAGGGATGGAAGACAGAGGTGAGTGCAAACCAAGAGGGGCCCTCCACAGGTAAACTCGGGCCTCAAGACGTTGAACTTGCGCCCCTCCATGCGCATGCCCTGTGGAGAGTGGAGCATTGTAACATGAAGCAATGCAGGATAGGAGAACCAAGCACACAGGGTCGTGTGTGCCCCTCCACAGGTACATCCATGCCTCCACTGCCTCGGGCCTCAAGACGTTGAACTTGCGCCCCTCCATGCGAATGTCCTGTGGTGGTGTGTGCGTTGCATGGATGGATGAAGCACACATGGATGGGTAAAAGACGAAGGGGAATCAGAACAACTCAATGAAACAGCCACTGGCACACTGTAGTGACTGTACAGCTACAGCCACTGGCACACTGTAGTGACTGTACAGCTACTGCCACTGGCACACTGTAGTGACTGTACAGCTACAGCCACTGGCACACTGTAGTGACTGTACAGCTACTGCCACTGGCACACTGTAGTGACTGTACAGCTACAGCCACTGGCACACTGTAGTGACTGTACAGCTACAGCCACTGGCACACTGTAGTGACTGTACAGCTACTGCCACAATCTACAGTCTAACACCATAAGCTACAATCACAGTCTGCATCACCCTACACAGTCACATGACAGCAGGCACACGCACGCACCTTCTCTCCAAATGCATAGTCCTCCCCACTGAGCCCCGTGGGTGACGTGCTGTAGAAGAGATGACACGTGTGCCCCAGCTGGTGGGGGGAGAGTGGAAGAGGGAGGGAGAGGGAGTGGAAGAGTCGGGAAGTGCGGGTGGGGGTAGTGAGGGGTTGTAAGTTCTCCCCACTGAGCCCCATGGGTGATGTGCTGTAGAAGAGATGACACGTGTGCCCCAACTGGTGGGTTGGAGCGGGAGGGTACGTAGTGGTGTGTGGGGGGGGGGAGGGTGGGTTGTTGTTATTTCCTCCCCACTGAGCCCCGTGGGTGACGTGCTGTAGAAGAGATGACACGTGTGCCCTAGCTGGTGGGGGAGTGGAAGTAGAAAGGGGGGGAGAGAATGGGAGGGGTTGGAAAACGAAGTTGAGAAGTGGTTAGTGGGGAGTGGAAGGGGGGAAGAAGGGGGTAAGGGGGATAGTTTGGCACGTGTGCCCCAGCTGGGAAGGAGGGGTAAGGGGTGGTTTGGCACGTGTGCCCCCCAGCACATCTACCCCTTATTCCATTGAGCCCCGTGGCTGATGTGCGGTAAACGAGGTGACACGTGTGGCCTAGCTGGGAAGGAGGGGTAAGGGGTGGTTTGGCACGTGGAAGGGAAGCAGCGGTTGAGGGGGTTGCGCACAAAAAGGCATACATAATGGTCACCCGCCCTTTCACAACGAGCTTCCAGTCAACTCCACAGCAACTCCTCCCGAGCCACATCAAGAACAACACCCACTTCCTAGCACTCTCCCCCTTTTTCCCTCTCCCTCTCACCTCTTTAGCCAGCCTCATGTATGCCTTGGTGTGTGCACTCCCCTCTGCCACGGTCTGTCCCCCCAGCACCAGCATGCCTGCCACGAAGCACCCTTTCCCCCTGCCCTTACATCTCTCCCTCTCACCTCTTTAGCCAACTTCATGTACGCCTCGGTGTGTTCACTCCCCTCCGCCACTGTCTGTGCCCCCAGCACCAGCAAGCCTGCCACGAAGCACGTCACATGCTCCATCTTGTGCTCCACCTTCCCCGCATGCATCTCTGCCACATACGCCACTCTGCCACCACTGCTGCCACTGCTGCTGCTGCTGTCATTGCTGCCGCCACCGCTGGTGGTAATGCCAGCACTGCTGCTGCTGCTTCTGTCACTGGTGCTGCTAGTGCTACTGTTGTTGGTTGCACTGGCGGTGGTAGTGGCGGTGGTGGTGTTGGGAGCCGGGGAGTGGTGAATCAGCTTATCCATCATGCCTTGCATGGATTTCTCCCACATGTCTCTGTGGGTGGAGAGTGGTGGTAAGGGGTGGGGAGGGGTGACAGAGGGAGGAGACTCTTTCACTAACAAAAAACTCAAAGTTGCTCCGAGAGAAATGAAACACGCGTAAAATCCATAACACTCTCGCCGCGCCATCGTGCCATAATAACACACCCTCAGCCATGAACACTAGGCCAGTCGCCTACTCTTACATGGCTGAATTGAAAAAAGCACGCCTGGATCACACTGAATTGAACACACGTAAAAGCCATAGTGTGAACGCGTGAACGCACACCCGGTTTTTGAGGATATTCAAAAGAATACCCTGGAAAAGCGTGTCGAATGTTCGATGTACCCTCACTCACCTGTATCTCTGAACATAGGGTGTGCCTCCGCCTTGCACCCACACTTTGAGTAAATACTCGTAGAAGCTGATGCAGAGAAAATCGGGGAATGCGGGGGGAGGGCATAAATTACTTTTGAGGCACCTCAAAAGTGGAACATAGGGTGTGCCTCCGCCTTGCACCCACACCTTGAGTAAATACTCGTAGAAGCTGGGGTGGCGAAACGAAGAGGGGAAGGGGGCGATGGAAACACGGATTGGGAGAGAGAAGACACATCGTATTTTTAACTAGTGCGGCACGTTCAGGAATGGTACTGTTGAAACGGCGATCCGCATGGATGGGGAACGGTTATGGACGGTGGTGCTGCGCCTTCACTCTTGGAATCTTCGCTCATTAACACAGAGAAGTTAAGAGAAAGCAGGAATGCTGACCCCAGCACCAGTGAGATGCGGTGAGAGGTGGGCTCACTGCATCTCACCGCATTGCACACAGCTCACCGCACACTTCACCGCACCTTACCGCACCTCACCGCACATCTTACCTGTTCCCCATGGATCTCAATGTGATGTGGTGAGAGGTGGGCTGGCCAGTGGCAGTGAGATAAATAATTCTAACACCATGCAGTGCCGCACTTCACCTCATCCTGCCGCACTTGACCGCATCTCACCTGTCCCCCATGGACCCAAGCGTGATGTGGCGAGAGGTGGGCTTGCCGGTGACAGTGCCAATGAGCACTGGCAGCAGACCGTCGGATGGAAAGATCTTGGCGATCTGACGGATGATGTGCTCCGACTGAGCAGGCAGGCCAACAGTCGGGGAGCGGAGAGGAGAAGAGGTTCAGAAAGCCAAGTTCTAGAAAGTTAAGAGGTCAAGCTGCTGCGCCAAGAGGCCAAGCCATAATGTTCAGCTATATGGGAATCACTTATAAGAAATTCCATGTGAATCTCTCGAAGATGCTGTACCAAGAGGCCAATTTATTGAAGATTTGAATTTTATTAATTCCCGTCTCAAAAATCACCGCAGGATGTCGATCGCTAGTCCCTCATTGTATCATGTCCAAACCAGACTGGAAGCAGCAGGCGTGCTGAGCTGCCCGAGACACTCTTGAGAATTCAAAAGAAATAAATGAAAAGAAACCAACTAATATATATATATATATATATATATATATAATTCTCAGAATTGTATCATGTATTTCAGATGAAAAACAGCAGGGAAGAGGGGAGGAGGGGAGGAGAGGTGCGTGAAAGGAGGAGAGAGAAGGTGCGTGGAAGGAGGAGAGGGAAGGTGCGTGGAAGGCGGCACAGGGGAGGTGAGTGAAAGGAGGGAAGGGGAGGTGTGAGAGAGGAGGGAAGGGGAGGTGCGTACGGCGTTGGCATATTTGGGATCGCCGGTGCGCTGGGAGAGTGAAAGCAGAGAATGGAAGGTGCGTGGGAGAGGAGGAGAGGAGGGGAGGTGTGCGGAAGGAGGAGAGGAGGCACGTACGGCGTTGGCGTATTTGGGATCGCCCGTGCGCTGGGAGAGTGCCACCATCTCTAGCTGTGTTGAGCCCAGATCTGCCAGTACTGCAGAGCGCTGGCAATGAATGGGCGCATGGACAGGGATGTGATGAGGGGGAACAAACAAGGGGCCACAACTGAATGCGAGTGGGCACAAACGGGGGGGTGGGGAGGGGAGGGGGGGGGCGCTGAGAGAGTGCCAGCATTCATCGCGAGCTGCGTTGAGCCCAGATCTCCCAGCATTGCGGAGCGCTGGGGGCGTGGGTGGGAGGGAAGGCGCGCTGGCAAGTCATTAAGCTCTCTGGTCGAACAGGGTTTAGGGTTTAGGGAAGTTCAAGTCTATGTCCGTCAGCGGCGCTGCCTGCGGTGCCCCATTTCTGAGGCTCCTCAGAAGTCACTGCGGTGCCCCACTTTTGAGAGGTTAAAGCCTATGTCCGTCAGCGTTGCGGTGCCCCATGCCACTCACTAGCGAGCAACACAACTCAAGCGGAGTATCACACAAGACTTACTGCTCTGCGCATGCCCCCGGTCCCCGGAGTATCACACAAGACTTACTTACCCCACTCCATCTGGGAAAATGCGCGGTGCTGCTAGCGGGGTTGATAATTCGTGGGGAGCGGAATGCCCCTGCGCGTGGAGTAGGCAGGCAGCAGCTTGCCCAGGGGCGGAATGCCCATCCCTATGCTCTAAGCTCCAGCTTTAGGTTGATTTTGAGAATTCTCAAAATCCATCCCTATGCTCATGTCGTGCATAGCTGCATAGGGATACAATACACGTGTCGTGCCCTACAATCTCAAGAGCACGGAGAGTTCCCTCTCCTAATGTAAGCCCCTAGAGAGAGCGCGCACCCACTCACCCCAGTCCACCCATGCGAGCGTGCAATGCCTGCCACTGGCGAGGTTGACAAAGGCGAGGGGGATGCCAGTGGGGGTGGCGAAGGCCGGCAGCAGCTTGTGTGCGAGCTCTACGCTCCAGCCGCTTATGCATGCCACGCACCCCTAGAGAGAGAGAGAGAGAGCACCCACTCACCCCAGTCCAGCCGTGTGAGCGTGCAGTGCCACTGGCGAGGTTGACAAAGGCGAGGGGGATGCCCGTGGGCGTGGCGAAGGCCGGCAGCAGCTTGTCTGCGAGCTCTCTTGCTTTGGCCAGGAGCATTGGGTCGCCTGAGAGGTCGTACGCACTCAGTAGCCCGCCCAGTATGCTGGAAGATGGGAGGGAAGGGAGTGGAGAGGAGAGGGGAGGGGGAAGTAAGTGCCTGGTGGGCTGGCAGCAGCTTGTCTGCGAGCTCCTTTGCTTTGGCCAGTAGCATTGGGTCGCCCGATAGGTCGTATGCACTCAGCAGCCCGCCCAGTATGCTGGAAGGAGGAAGTGCGGGAAAGACATGATCGTTCAGCAATGGGAATCTACCGGCTAAAAAAATACGATTATCTGGTCATATGAGAACAATTTAATCCGCATAAAATCATATATATACTACCTGATCACGTGATCCGTGAACAGAGGGGCTTTGTGAATCGAAAAATGCTACGACTGATGGTGACGTCGGCGTGCGGTGCGGTGCGGTGCGGTGTGGTGCGGTGCGGTGTGGTGCATACCGAATGGTGGTTTCGAAGACGTTGGCGTCGTAGTCATGCTCGAAGAAGAGCTTCTCCTGCACCCAGCTGACAGAGCGAGGGGGAGGAGGATTGAGAGAGATGCAAGGGTGGGGGTTGGGGAGAGGGGCAGGGAGAGTGGGAGGGTGATGATGGCAACTCAAGGGAGAGAGAAAAAGGAGTAGACAGGGGAAGTGGGGCAGGGGGTGAGAGGGTGCACGCACCGGGATGCCATACCATGCCATATCATGCCGTACCTTGCCATACTATGCCCATGCCTTACCATGCCATGCGAAGCCTTGCTGTGTCATACCATGCCATGGCATACAATGTCATGGCACCGGCGCATGAACGTAGCACAAGCCACACCATGCCACACCGTGCCAAGCCACACCCTACCACACTACACCGGACCCGTTTCCTCTTGGCCTCATTGAACTCCTTCATAGGCCAATGTTAAACTCGCTACTCCATACTCCCACGCCACACCACACCGCACCGCACTGCTTACCTCTTGGCCTCATTGAACTCCTTGGTGAGCCCCATGAGGTAGAGCGAGTCAAGCGAGTCAACGATGGTCAAACCCAGCCCCCCAAAGTGGTTCGCCCCGGTCTTGGTGCGCGGCTGGCGGTGGGAGCAGGGGGATGCACAGAAAACAGGACAGGTGGCACAGGGGGGAATGGAGGTATGCAGGGAGGACAGGATAGGACAGGTGGCAGGGGGGGATGGAGGGATGCTCCCATAATGCCATAATGCCACATGCCACCACGCAGCCATGCCATGCCACCACACCATCATGCCACCACACCATGATGCCACCACACCATGATGCCACCACACCATGATGCCACCACACCATGATGCCACCACACCATGATGCCACCACACCATGATGCCACCACACCATCACCTCACCATGCCATCATGCCACCCTGTGCGCAACTGCAGTTCGTCCAGAACCCATGCATAGTGACAGTACCCTTCCTATCCACGCAGCGTCATTCTCTACCCCATGACTTTGACCCAACACCTGCTCGCACCTGCAGTTCATCCATGCCCCATGCATATTGCCGATAACCCTTCCATGCATGCGCCATCGCCTCTCGTATCGCCTCCCGCTTCTCCTCCACCCCTTCTTCCCCCTCCCCCCCCTCTCTCATCACCCTCCCCCTGCCCCCCCCATCCTGCCCATCCCCCCCAAGCCCTTCCCCAGCCACATCACCAGCCCCAGTACCATCCCCACCCACCCCCGCTCCCCTCAATCTACCTCCCCCCGCGCCCCCTCTCCTCCTCCTCCTCCGCTTCCTTCTAGATCGTCCCCTGCGTCTCCTCCTCCCCTCTCCTCCCCCTCCATCCACCCCTCCGCCTCTCCCCCCTCCTCTCGCACCTCTTCTCCCGACACCTCTTCCGCGTTCGCCCACTCCCGCTCGCCCTCGCCCTCTCAGGTTCACAGGTACGACTCGGAACGACTGCTCCTCCTCCCCCGCCTCTTCCCCCTCCTTGGACGCTCCATGTGCTTTCTTACGCGTCTTTTCCAGCTGCCACAGGGGAAACCCGGGGGGAAAGGGGGGAGGGGGAGGTGCTGTTGAGAGGTCTCAAAAGGTTCACAGGTACGGCTCGGAACGACTGCTCTTCCTCCCCTGCCTCTTCCCCCTCCTTGGACGTTCCATGTGCTTTGTGCCCTCCTTGGACGCTCCATGCGCTCCCCTACGTGTTCTTTCCAGCAGCCACAGGAAAAAAAAGGATGCAGGAGGGAGTGGGGGAGATATGGAAAGAAGGGGCGAGGAAAGGGGGGAAGGGGGAAGGGGTTGGGGGGGAGGAAGGGGAGGGGAGAAGTCCAAACACGATGCTTTAGGTAGCCTCAAAACACGAGTTATAACGAGCATGGGTCATTCATTTCATAGACACGGGATGATCGAAGTTTTTCTTCCGCCTTTCAAATGCCCCCCATTTGATCTGTCCTTGTCAACTGACACTGGTGGAGTGTACAGACACCAGTACACTAATAGGGGTTGCAATAACGGGTATGATATAAGTGTAGACATCGCAATATTAAAATAGGAGAAATTAGCTGTTCCCGGAGCCCATGTAGCAAAGTACAACCTGAGTCACCTTATAGCGGGTCTCACCTTATAGCGAGGCTCACCTCGGCCACCATGCTCTGCTTCTGACCGTGCAACGCCTGCACCCTCGCTGTGAGTGCCTGCCATCAGTGCATGGGGTGTTTGGAAGGGTGTTACAAGGTGCTTAGGGGGTCGAATGAAGGTGTTTGGGGGGTCGTATGGGAGTTGTTTGGGAGCGTTTGGCTGTTGCGGGGGAAGGGAAGGAAACGGGAGAAGCGTAGAGGGAAGGGCGACGGGAAGATGGAGAGGACGAAGGGAGATTGAGTGTGAAGAGAAGAGAGGGAGTCAGACCCATTTGGAATCTCGGATCTTGCGAAAAATGGAGCGCGAATGTCGGGAATGCAACTTGATCACTTGAGATTAACATGATGGAACGCAACTTGATCACTTGAGATTAACATGATGGAACGCAACTTGATCACTTGAGATTAACATGATGGAACGCAACTTGATCGCATCGACTCGTCAAGATTCTAATATCCAAACCTGGCCAGAACGCGTTCGGCCAGCCCAAACCTGGCTGTAGCCCAAAACGTAGGTTCGGCCGAGCCTATCTCCATTTAAAGCTAGGTGTAACGGAAAATTACACTTCTTTTGACTCCAACCCGGACCTAGTTTCTTCAACCGAGCCTAAATGCCGTCCGAACCACTTCGACCGCACCTTCACTTGGCGCGCTTTGTGCTGGCGGCGCAGGAGGAGAAACATCCCCGCGATGAGGAGAAACGAGAGGACGAAGAGGCGCTTCGGCCGACGGAGGTAGTACGCGGGTAGCAAGTACTTGACCAGCGACATCGCCGGAAACGACGCGCGGCGACGGCCGGCCATTGCGGCGTCTCGCCCGCGAAATTAATTGGAATTCGGCCGCAAATGGCGGCGTAAACTAAGGATGGTCAATTTGACACCTGAGTCATTCTCGCGTTGGCTGGAATAGTGTGAGACACGGAATTATGGAATGCCGGCATGAATCAAATAAAGACACGGGTTACAACCATTGAGTCGACTCAAAAGTCGACCATTGAGTTGACTCAAAAGTCACCTCGAATGCCGGCATGATTCAGGTAAAGACACGGGTTACGATCATCTTCAAAGTCCATATCGCGACCGAGACGGACAGACTAATCGACGGACGGTACATACCGGCCTCGCAGTTCCATAACGATTCTGGTTGGCAGCAGAATAGAACTGTTTTGGCAAGAAAGCAGAAAATGTTTGATTTTGTGGACTGGAATCCGGATGGGGTGTTGGAAAACGGAGTTGTTCTTATTGTTGCCGTTACCGTACTGATATCGTTTTTAGAACCGTCATACCGTGTTCAACCTCTGTAGGAAGGGTGTTTGGACGGCTTGCGAACGAGGAGTGTTTGACAAAATCTCAGCGAAGGGCAAAGAGCGACGGAATGGGGGTTCTCGAGATAAGCATGGGGACATCTGGCAATATGCGCGTTGTAATACAGTAATAGGGTTCTTCCTTGTATCTACTACAATTTATGTCTACAGTGGTAATGGGCAAAGCATGTATTGAACATGCAATTTATCTGCAAGGACGATGGGGAAGCGTTTGCATAACATTATTATGGAACTTAATACTGGCACAAATGCTACTTCATTACTCTACACAAAGCAAATGTGTTAGAACACCTGCACTGGGGATGCCTGATTGATCCTAGGGAAGGGTTATACGGTAGGCATGTTTGCCTAGGGGTTATGATGCACTCACCGCTACTTAACAAGCCATTTTATCCCACTGGTCTAGTGGTTGGGATCAAATGTGTCATGTTCACTGCTAGAATGGATTGGGCACAACCAACACTGGGCACGATGCATTGTGGATTAAATAGTCGCTCACACTCCCAAGCATGGCTCTGCCACTCACAGCAAACGAATCACGCAGTGAAACAAAACAAAACGAGACAAAGCAAAACACATCATTCAATGAATGAAAATTAGAGAGCACCCTTGTTAAGATTCATCCTGGTTGCATGCATGTGCGAGCAAGATTACACATGAAAATCCCATTGCTCAAAGACCGCCCTTACAATTGGGGGTAGTAAAAGAGATATGACAGAAACACGCCAGCACATACGCCAGCAGTCGCACCTTGACACGGCCCCAGCCCTCCGGAGCCGACCAAGAGCAGCTCTATGGTCTGCCACTCCGCACCCTTCATGATAGCAGAGGTTAGAGGTGTGAGATCCAAGACACACCAACACAGACACACACACACTCTCACCTCAACATGGTGCTCCAGCGCCGTCCCATATAGCTGAGGTCAGAGGTGAGAGATATGAGAACGCCACAGGCACACACCGTCTCACCTGGACACGGCGCCCAGCCCTCGGGAGCCCACCACGAGCAGCTCTATGGCCTGTCGCTCCACCACCATCCCTAATGGCTGAGGTGCATGTGGGACATATGACAATGCCAGCACAGATGCCAGCACGGACGCTAGCGCATTCGCTAGTGCAGCAGACCCCAGCAGTCTCACCTGGACACGGCGCCCAGCCCTCTTGACCCCACCACGAGCAGCTCTATGGCCTGCCGCTCCACCGCCTCACACAGCTCTGCACGCGCATCGCCCGCCTTGCGCGACACTGCATGGCACGTTATCTGGTGGACACGAGGGGGTGGGTGGGGGATGAGCTTTAAGCCGTCTCACCACACAGCTCCATGCGCGCATCTCCTGCCTTGCGCGGCACTGCAGGGCAGGTTATCTGGTGGACAAGAGGGGGTGGGTGAGTATTGAGTTTTGAGTATTGAGTATTGAGTATTGAGTATTGAGATGTTGCATCACACAGCTCCATCCATGCGTGCATCCCCTGCCTTGAGCGACACTGCATGGCACGTTATCTGGTGGACACGAGGGGGTGGGTGGGGGATGGGCTTTAAGCCGTCTCACCACACAGCTCCATGCGCGCATCTCCTGCCTTGCGCGGCACTGCAGGGCAGGTTATCTGGTGGACAAGAGGGGGTGGGTGAGTATTGAGTATTGAGTATTGAGTATTGAGTTTTGAGTATTGAGTATTGAGTATTGAGTATTGAGTATTGAGTATTGAGATGTCGCATCACACAGCTCCATCCATGCGTGCATCCCGTGCCTTGAGCGACACTGCATGGCATGTCAGCAGCACATCAGCAGCAACCACCTCCCACACTCATCTCTCCCCCTTACTGCACTATCTTCCCCTCTTCCCCCTTTCTCCTCCCACTCACCCCAGCTGCATGCGCCATCCCTCTGAACCTAGCCAGCAGATCCTCTGCCCATGCCATGCCACCTCATACCCCCACACCCCTTTTCCTCCAATCACCCCCCCTTTCCCTCCCTCCCCCCACTCACCCCTGCTGCATGCGCCATCCCCCGGAATCGCACCAGCAGCGCCTCTGCCCGCGCCTCCACCTCATACTCCCCCTCCTGGCCCTTCCCCTTTCTCCCCCTCCCTCCCCATCAACTCAACCCCCCTCCTCCCTCCCGCCACTCACCCCAGCCGCATGCGCCATCCCTCGGAATCGTGCTAGCAAATCCTCTGCGCGTGCCTCCACCTCGTATTCCCACACCAACGCCTGCCCCGCGCTGTTGCGCTGCTCTGCCTCGTACATCCATGCCGCCTCTGGCAAATAAGGAGGGGGGAAAGGCGGGGGCCAAGGGCAGGGGGGGAGGGGAGGACTATTGATGATAGGAGTTGCTGTTGCGCTGCTCTGCCTCGTACATCCACGCCGACTCTAGGAGAGGGGGGGAACGGGGAAAGTCGTGGTGAAGGGGGAGAGTGGTGTTAAAGGGGCACGCATGGCGAGACAGCAGGCTCCTGGGTCAACGTAATTGTCACCAGGCTCACCCAGCCACCATCACCACCACCCGTGCCAGGCTCACCCGTGTTGGGGTCCCGGACGTGTAGAGCGTAGATGGTGGCGTTGCGAGACAGCAGGCTCAGCGCGAAGTGAAACGCCTGTGGGAGTCGGAGAGGCAACGCGTGTTGGAGAGAGAGGGATGGGAGGGTTGTTGGACGGCAGCAGTGGACGGCGGCCCAGGACGGCAGCACAGGACGGCAGCACAGGACGGCACAGGACGGCAGCACAGGACGGCAGCGCAGGACGGCAGCATAGGACGGCAGCAGTGAACGGCAGCAGCGAACGGCAGCAATGGACGGGTTAGAAACGGCGAAAGGCAGCACAATTTCACATCTATATCTGCTCTCACTCCCCTGCTCTCCTTCCCCGCTTCCTTCACTCCCACATTCCGCTAACTCCCCGTTCCCGCACCGACTCGGCGCCCGGTGATTGGTCGACTGCCACTAAAACCCGCGCATCGCGCCGCATCGCTCTCGCCGCGCCGCGTGCATCCGCGACTTCACGCCTGGTGAACGCGATACACGCGATACGTGAACTCGGACCACGAAAGTTCTACAAAGGAGATTGGTCTACGAGACGCAAATCTCGTAAGGAACGCAAATCGCGTTAGGCACGGTGATGAAACAATTGATAGCTACTCACTCAGTGTCGGATTCGTGAGAGGACTTCTAGGACTAATAATAGGACTTTCGGGGGCAAAATGGAGACACGCCCTAAAGGTCGAATTGAAAGCGCCAAGCAGCTGATGAGGACTTGTTGCACAGATACATTGCCCTCACAAGTTCTATGCATCAAGAACAAACTTATCCAACATTCACCGCATTGTAACATCTCATAACATTTATGTACCGAACCGAGCCAGAAGAAATAAACCCTCAATTGTGTACAGAGTATTGACAAATTAGATTACAAAGCAGATAGTTTAAAACTAATAACTCTTAGCGAGACTTTTAACACGAGGGTAACCTTGCCGAAACCAGTGATCGGGCGACAAGGGCGAATTCAGATCGCCTTCCTGAGATGGGGCCCCATCCGAAATCCACCATGCTACAGTGCCCAGAGCACGTGGCCGTGGCATGGCAGCAAAGGGGGGGCGAATGTGGACGTCGCATGAGTTGGGACATGAGGGTCGTGCGAAACTCCCTCACGTCAACTTTTCCTTGCCCCGGACGTCAGAACGACAGTCGAACTAGACTGTCACGGAACCAAAAAACTGAACATCTTGCGCGCATACCAATAGCACAATGCAATTCCAGTGAGAACCCTAAAAGGTTTATCAATTCCCTCCCAGTGTGTTTTCGACCGTCTCATGGGAGCATGTGGCCGTTGAAAACTGTCGCATGAACGTTCGATGCAGACGCATGTGAGTGGTTGCACCAATTCTCTCTTGTTTTTCGCCCTAATCGACTCCAGTCGCATGGCACGTGTGGTGGGTGTGACCAATATCTAATTCTGCCACGCTGGACCAATGGCGCTGCAAATCGATGGGGCCCCATCTCAGGAAGGCGCCCTCAGCACAGGAAATGCAAACGAGCCCTGGCAGGTATGAATCGAAAACCAAACTCAAGCTCCACGCAAGCTCCATGCAAGGTCCACGCCAACTGACCCTTCCCTTCGATTCCCGAAGCGCCCCCTGTTTTTGCGATTAGGCGAGAATTGGGACAGGGGGGAGCAGCTCGCGTCATCGCCAGCTCGAGGGGGGACCACCTCGCGTCACTCCGAAGCTGGCGGGGGTCATCGGGTGGGCTGGGGGGGTCGGCTCCCGCCCCTTGCGTGCCCCGCTACGCGACTGCGTCAGAAACGCAATGACGCGGGCAAAATGACGCAGGGGCGGGGGGTTTCTCTAGTAAAACCCCTCTTCCTCGTCAATCCTTCCTCTCGTTCTCGCTTCCTACCTCAGAAAGTTGCTGGCGAGCGCACCACAGTAACCACCTTCGTTAGCGTTTGCTTGATTACTGATTCTGAAACTAACGAATTGCGGGAACGCCCCGTGTGAATCCCGGATTTTCGCACAGTCGAGTTGCGGAAGGCCGAGCGGCTTCAGCCGTGGGAGCGTCAACATGGTGAGCGTCGCACTCAAGTTGGTCCTTCCAGAGTTGATTTCGTATGAGGTATACAAAATTCAATTGTCTCCAAGTTGGAGCGAGTTGGTATCTTTGCTCTGGTCTTGTAACACCTCGCTACCCACTGGGTCAAAACGAGGGTGTTACTTGGCGCAGCGGAATGCCCATTAACACTTAGCCCACAGGCGTTACAGGTCTTCTAGATCGTCTTTCCAATTCGCTGAATCTTGCTTCCGTTGGAAGACAAGACATGAAGGTTGGCTTGATTGTCTTCCAAACCTTGTTCCCTTCGCTTTGCTTCGCTCCGCTCCCAAGTCTTCTCCCTACTGTTCTCCGACCTCTCCTGCTCTCTTCATCCGCTAGGGTTTCAACAAGGAGCAGCCAGTGAGCGGCCAAGGCCAAAGCTCGGATCACGCTCCTCTGCTCGCCACCTCCACCGCCTCCTACTCCTCTTTCAATCCTCATCGTCTTACTCCGCCGAATCCTCCTCCTGCTTCTCCTGCTGCTGTAGTCGTTGGCATTGCTGATGCTGCCGCTGATCCTACTCAAGCAGCAGCAGCAGCAGCAGGGGGGGGGGGGTTGGCAGAAAAAGGGGGGGCAGCAGGGGGGCAGCAGGAGGGGCAGCAGGAGGGGTGGCAGAGGGAACGCCACTCGTGTTTCCTGGCCTTGTCCAACCCATGGGCACGGAAGTACTCGTCTCGCGCTCGCCCACGCTCCTCCGCTTCACCATCCCTCCTCAGCGCCTCTCCCTTGCAACCCTTTTCGGAATCGTCTTCACGCTGGTGAGCTCGAGTCAGGCAACTCGTTGACTTTTGAGTCCACTCAAAACAAGGCTCCCCAGCGCTTCTCCCTAGGAGCCCTTGTCGGAATCGCCTTCGTCCTCATGTCAGGCAACTTCTCTGCCCTAAAACCACCATCTTGTTGCTTTATACGTTACGCTCCTTCCTTATTTCTTACACGGTGTATTCATTTGCTCCCATTCATTTCAAGCCTCCGCTTTCTCCTCTCTCCCTCTTCATCCACCTCCCTCTATTTTCCATCCCCCCTCCTCCCCCCCACACTTCACCATCTATGACCGCTCAATTCTGGATGGATTTTGTTGCCGTCTGGACATCCGCAGCAGCCAGCAAGCATGCTGGCCTAGTCCGTCCCTTCCTGCCTTCTAATTTAGTCATTCCGTTCCTCTCTCGCCCAATCTCCCCGTAAACACACCATACCTGCCATCACAGTTACGGTATGGATGGCGTTTGTCGCCTTTTGGACATCCACAGCAGCAGCAGCAAGCATGCTGGCCCAATCTCTCCCTTCTTTCCTTCCTTCAAATCAATCAGTCCGATTCTCTCCCTCCCAATCTTCCCACCCAATCTTCCCACCACACACCATCCCTGCCATTACAGTTCTGGATGGCGGGTGTCGCCTTCTTGTCAACCGCAGCAGCAGCAAGCATGCTGGCCCAATCTCTCCCTTCCTGCCTTCGAATCAATCAATCAGTCCGATTCTCTCCCTCCCAATCTCCCCTTCCCACCACACACCATCCCTGCCATTACAGTTCTTGATGGCGGGTGTCGCCTACTTGTCAGCCGCAGTAGTATCCTATAGACTTCCCCCCCTCGACCTTTACTACACCATTCCCATCTGGGTCCTGCTTATCTGGTGGGTGGGTTCTATTCATTTCAAGCCGTGTCTCATTTCAGCCTTTCCAGCCTTCTTGTGCGTTCTCGTGCTTTTGAGACGTCTCAAAACTACAAATATATCACGCGGCATCTGGTGGGTGGGCTCTATTCATTTCAAGCCATGTCTCTTTCCAGGCTTTCTACCCCTCTTGTGCGCTCGCGTGTTACCTTTGGCACATCACGGGCCAAGTTAACATAATGTAATGTGTCCCTGGTGTGGATGTCACCGCGGGCTATCTTTGGCACATCATGGCCCAAGTTGTTATAATGTGTCCTGGTGTGTGAATGTCACGAGTCACGACTCGCGACCTTGTAACTACTGCCACCTTCCCCCACCTCCCCCACTTCCCTTCCCGTTCCCCTTCCCCTTCCCCTTCCCCTTCCTCCCTGCCAGCCTGCTCGCCCACGTGCTACTGCGGCACATCATGCTTGAGACAGTGTCTGTCATACTCTCAACCAACGTTGCATGTTTCCGTTTTCACCCCCTCTTCCACTTCCCCTTCCCCTTCCTCCCCACTAGGCTGCTCGCCCTCTTGCTACTGCTGCTCATCATGGACGAAACGGTGACCGTTGACTCTGCCACGTGTCAGCTGACCATTCGTCGAACGGTGATGGGGCTGACTTTGCCTTGTGGCGTGTCCACGGCTCGCACTGATCGCATCAGTGGCTCTGGCGTCAACTTCACCGTGGTATGATCTCTTTGCTTTTAAGGCTGAGTATGTTTTTTTTTTAATTCTCAAAAAACATACTCTGCCTTGCTGTGGCTTGTTCAAGGCAAGCACTGCTCGCATCAGTGGCGCTGGAGTCAACTTCACCGTGGTATGGTCTCTTTGCTGTTTATGCACTTAAGGAAACAAACTACACCATGCAGGCCCTTATCTTGTACTTTCGCTCCGTGGCTCTCCGTGGCTCTCTGTGGCTCTCCGTGGCTCTCTGTGGCTCTCCGTGGCTCTCTGTGGCTCTCCGTGGCTCTCTGTGGCTCTCCGTGGCTCTCTGTGGCTCTCTGTGGCTCTCTGTGGCTCTTCGTGGCTCTCTGTGGCTCTCCATGGCTCTCTGTGGCTCTCCGTGGCTCTCCGTGGCTCTCTGTGGCTCTCTGTGGCTCTCTGTGGCTCTCTGTGGCTCTCTGTGGCTCTCCGTGGCTCTCTGTGGCTCTCCGTGGCTCTCTGTGGCTCTCCGTGGCTCTCTGTGGCTCTCCGTGGCTCTCTGTGGCTCTCTGTGGCTCTCTGTGGCTCTCCGTGGCTCTCCGTGGCTCTCTGTGGCTCTCTGTGGCTCTCCGTGGCTCTCCGTGGCTCTCCGTGGCTCTCTGTGGCTCTCCGTGGCTCTCTGTGGCTCTCCGTGGCTCTCCGTGGCTCTCCGTGGCTCTCCGTGGCTCTCCGTGGCTCTCTGTGGCTCTCTGTGGCTCTCTGTGGCTCTCCGTGGCTCTCCGTGGCTCTCCGTGGCTCTCTGTGGCTCTCCGTGGCTCTCCGTGGCTCTCCGTGGCTCTCTGTGGCTCTCCGTGGCTCTCTGTGGCTCTCTGTGGCTCTCTGTGGCTCTCCGTGGCTCTCTGTGGCTCTCCGTGGCTCTCTGTGGCTCTCCGTGGCTCTCTGTGGCTCTCCGTGGCTCTCTGTGGCTCTCTGTGGCTCTCTGTGGCTCTCCGTGGCTCGCCGTGGCTCTCTGTGGCTCTCTGTGGCTCTCCGTGGCTCTCCGTGGCTCTCTGTGGCTCTCCGTGGCTCTCTGTAGCTCTCCGTGGCTCTCTGTGGCTCTCTGTGGCTCTCTGTGGCTCTCCGTGGCTCTCCGTGGCTCTCCGTGGCTCTCTGTGGCTCTCTGTGGCTCTCTGTGGCTCTCCGTGGCTCTCCATGGCTATCCGTGGCTCTCTGTGGCTCTCCGTGGCTCTCTGTTGCTCTCCGTGGCTCTCTGTGGCTCTGTTACTACCACCATGCACCGCACCTGTCGCTACTACCATGGAGTGGAAAACGTTCCTTTTGTGAAAACATGCACCAGCAGCAGCAGCAGCAGCAGCAGCAGCAGCAGCAGCAGCAGCAGCAGCAGCAGCAGCAGCAGCACCACCACCACCACCACCACCACCACCACCACCACCACCACCACCACCACCACCACCACCACCACCACCACCACCACCACCACCACCACCACCACCACCACCACCACCACCACCACCACCACCACCACCACCACCACCACCACCACCACCACCACCACCACTCTTGCTTTTCCTCCACCCAACTCCCGACCTGCAGGACCTCACCATGACTCGTGGGTGGGAGTACGGCCAATACCACTACCGCCACCACCTCTCACTTCAATTGTTGCTTGGGCCAATTCCTCCTATTCCGTCCAAATCCTCGCCTGGCAGGACCATTACGAGGGCCAATACCACTACCGCTCTCAACCAACCACGTTCTGCCAGCTCACCATGGCGGGCGGCAGGACTCTCTCCTTCGGCTATCACTTGTCACCACCAGAGCAGCGCTGGCTCTCCCTCCACATCGCATCCTTTCTGCAAGTGCCCTGGTTTTAATGCCTGTACAGCGTTGTTCCACGCGACTTCCTAGCGGAGCAGCGCTGGCTCTCCCTCCACTTTGCCTCCTTTCTGCAAGTGCCCTGTTTTTAACCATCCTTCCTGCAATCTTACTGACCCGACACTGTCGGTCGACGTTCCTTCTTTTTTTGTTTCCTAGCTGACTCAGCACTACTGCCTGTGTATCATAACGGTGCTCGTTCTCTTCTCTCGCTCAACGCCGCTTCATTGCGAAGCAACGTTGGATCTCTCTCCACATTGCATCATTCCTGTAAGTAGCTTAATTTCAGCCATCGTCTCTACAATGTTTCTCAATTCAGAATGATACCAGTAAGAGTTCTAAAAGCATGTAAATAAATCTAAGAAGTGTTGACTGCTGCTTTCTGTCGTGTGCTAAAGCAGAGCAGTAATCACGCTCGCTCTAAATGTTTGTGCTGGAATCAAAATATTAGTGTTTCTGGCTGCTGTGCAAGGGTCATCACTTGCTGAATCGACACCCATCAAAGTGTTGAATTATATTGCATATCCTAACTGCCTACAGCTTGCTAGTGTATTAGTTAGTTATTAGGTTCAACTGCTGGTGGTGTACCCTATCCTCTCCCCTATCCTATATCTTGTAAACATTCCTTAGTGAATGACGCTCTTTGCCCAATTCTCTTGCCATGCTCACTCTCGACACTCACGCTTCCTAGGTAAACCCTAAGTTACTAAGTCAAGAGTTAAGAGCGTGTTCTGATATGGTATCAGAGCGTGGTCCCTCCTAGGACCTCGTTTTCATGGGCCCACCAAACCCGCGATCTGCCATGGTGACTTATTGTGCTGCTGGCATGGCTGCTACTGCTAGTAGCGCGAAATCCGCTGCTGGCTCGAAATCCGCTGCTTTTGCAGCACCCGTCGCGCTGCCCCCTTTCACCTGCCCCGTCGCGCTGTGCCAGTGGCGAGCGCGCCAGCGAGGCGACGGCGGGCGCCAGCGCTGTCAAACTAGGTTTCTCTGTTGTAGGCTGTAGTGGGGTAGCCTCTACTGAGTACAACACTTTAGGGTTAGACATTGCCCTACTTGTACTCATCCTTGCTTCCTAGTCAATCATTCCTGCCTCTTGATTCTGACATGGTTTCAGAGCAGTAGGTCCGTAGGACCGTTTTTTTTTCGGGCCCACCTACCGCTACCCCACGACTGTGACTGTGACTGCCTCTGCCTGTGACGTGCTGCGCTGCGCGCGCCGTCTGCCTGCTGCCTACTGTCTGCTGACTGAGCTGTCTGCTGCTGCTTCGCGCGCAGACCTAATTTTCAAGCGCTGCCTCGTTTTTACCCCCGCGGGTCGCCCTCTCCTGCCCGAATCGCGCCTCGGCAGCCGCGTCGCGTCCCGCACACGGCCCGCGCAGCCCGCGTCGAGCCCGCGCAGCGCGCGCGCGGCCCGCAGCTGCCCCGCGCAGCCCGCCCCGAGCCCGCGCGACGCGCGCGCGGCCCACACCTGCCCCGCGCGGCCCGCACCGAGCCCGCGCAGCGCGCGCGCGGCCCGCCGCTGCCCCGCGCAGCCCGCCCAAGGCCCGCGCGGCGCGTCCGCGGCCCGCAGCGCGCTGCGCGCCGTCCGCGCAGCCCGCGCCGCGCGCTACCCGCCAGTGCGCGGCCCCAGGCAGCGGCGCGCGCCACCCTACCGCCGCCACGGCCTCGCCCTGCCGCCGACATGGCCCCACCCTGCCGCTGACACGACCCGGCCCCGCCGCTGACACGACTCGGCCCCGCCCTACCGCCGACACGGCCCCGCCCTGCCACTGACTCGACCCGGCTCTGCCGCTGACACGACCCGGCCCCGCCCTGCCGCTGACTCGACCCGGCCCTTCACTGTAGCCGCTGCTGCGGCCCTGCTGTCGCCGCCGTCGTGCGCCGACCCTGCCGCCGTCCGCCGAGCACCGGCCCTGCTCGCCCGGTGAGAGCCTGCTCTTCCCGCCACTGGTGAGCCCCTGCCTTGCTAGCGCGCTGCCGCGCTGCCTGCCTGCCTGCCTGCCGACCTCCCTGCCTGCCTGCCTGCCTGTAGCGCCTGCCCTGCACGTACTATGGCTGTTACTGTTGCTACGACTGTTACTGCTGCTACGGCTGTTACTGCTGCTCCTGCTGCTACTGGCGGAGGCCAGATGCAGCTCCAGCGACGTCCGCGTGAGTCCCTCACGTCCCAGCAGCTGAGTGAGTGGTACGCTAGTTGGGGTTGTGGCGGTAGCCGTCGTGACTGTCGCCCTGGAGCTAGTCGGTCGGGAGCGTCTGGCAGTGGCCAGCTGCAGCTGCAGCGGCGTCCGCGCGAGACACTTACGTCCCGGCAGCTTCACGAGTGGTACGCTCAGAGTCGAGGGTCTCGGAGTACCGTTCGCTGCCCGTACGTCCCACGTACGGGTGATCGGTCTGGTCAGGCTTGCGGGACACTTGGTCACACCCAGTCCCGCTGCTTCGCCCGTCTGAGCGACGCCTGGCGCACAGACTTTGGTGACGACTACCGTGTCTCCTCCGGTTGCTGCGTCTCGTCAGGTAGCTGCTTCGGGTCAGGTGTTTGTTGCAGCGTCCCGGTCTGGTCCTGAGTCTGCCCTCTGCTCGTGTCTGCCTCCTGTCTCACCAGACTCTCCTCTGGCACCACCGCCTTGGTCACCCCTCCCTGCCTCGTCTCCGAGGCATGGCCTCCCGTGTCCTTGTCACTGGTCTTCCCCGGTCTCTCCCTCCCCCCCCCCCGGGGCCTGCCCCTACCTGCGTTCCTTGCGTCGAGGGGCGGCAGCGCGCCGCTCCTCACTCCTCGGAGTTCCCTCCGACGGAGGCTCCCCTGCAGACTCTTCACATGGACATGTGGGGCCCAGCCCGCGTCCGTGGACAGGGTTACGAGAATCAGGATGAATTTGGGACAATTCCGTCCGTCTGTCCCCAACTGTACTGGCACTCGTTCCCCACTGCGCCACCACCCCACACGACACCACACCACACCAAACCACACCACACCACACCACACCACACCACACCACCTTGTTGTGCCCCATGACGTTGGCAGAAGCCCATCCATTGTCTTGAGGGGCAGCCCATGGATGGTGTGGCTTTAGTTGGGTGGTTTGTGTTGGGTGGGGGGAACAGAACAGAGTGTAGCCTGTGGTGGCTTCAGGGGGAGTGAGGGACAAACAACCCCCGTTATCACCGTATTCCCCTTCCAGATGACCTCATCCATACCGAACCAGCGGCTTCTGGTTCGGGGGAGAAACTGAACCAGCGCAGTGCACACATTCAGGCTGGCTGTCCTGCGCGGTCAGTCTTGCGGGCGTTGCCGCCAGTTTGAACTGTTGAAAAACTTTTTGTACCCCCTATCAGCAGCGGCCATGGAACTTATCGGAGCCAGTCTGACCATACACGAGGCGTGTGCTGCATCCGTGCCACGTCAGGGGATGCCATGATCCCACGCGTTTGTGGTCCCTTCTCAGCTTCTCCAGGAGTCCTGCCCGCCGGATTATGGACGGATCACGGATGAATCCTTCCCCCTCCTCCCTCCCTTCCGGGCCAACATCATAAGCATGCAAATTAGGCTGGTAACCCTATGCAATTGTATGCAAAACCGTCGATACATAATTTTGGAGTTAATTACGTATTTACCTAATACCGCATATTTAGTTTACTTGACCACTGATTTATTCCGCGCTTGGCTTTGCGCTAAACATTGATTTCTTCGGGCAACAGTTTTCGCCAGATTAGCAACACTGTTCACTACCTGACCCAAGAAAAAAATAAAACCCAATCGGAAAGGGATGCGACTCGGGGAGGCATCAACCCTAAAAACAATGCCCTTTCCCGAGTTTAGGGTTGATCCCTCCCGAAAATGCGTCCAGGTCCCTATGGGTTTTATGTTTTCCGGCCCTGCCCTAACAGTCCCCGGTAGCGTCGTCGTCGTATACTTTCATTCCAACAGAATTTCCCGCTAAATGTATCGTGCACATTTAGCGGAAAATTGTTGCCCGAAAAACTCGTTGTTAGGCGCCAAACAGGGCGCGGTAAGAACCACTAAGAAAATAAATCGAAAACGCAATCGATTTCTTCCTTTTTGTGCTACGTCAATTGTTACACAGTGTTTTCGAGTGGCGGTACCAGACAAATTTGCGCAGCAGGACTGGGGTATCGACGATTTTGCATACAATCGCATAGGGTTACCAGACTATTTTGCATGCCTATGATGTTGGCCCCTCCCTTCCCTCTACTCGCTTGCTTTTCACCCTTCCCTTCTCTTCTGTTCCCTTTCCATCTTTCCCCTCTCCCTCCCTCCCTAAAAAATCTTCCTCAGTCTCCCTGCAGAAGTGTGAGCTCTTCAACCCTAGGGTTAGATGTACTGATGTTTGCAATGACACGTTTACACTCTCTGTGAAGACCACCGTCATCCATAGTTTTCGGCTGGAATCTAGCGTTAGCTTTTGCGTTTATCATTACACTCAGTTCGAGCCGCTTTTTGTGAGGGAATTTGTGCGTGTTTTTTTTTTACGCAGACGATAACAGATAACCGATGATTACACGAGCTTGGATTAAATAGAATTCAGCATCTTATCCGACGAGGGGTCCCGTCTTGTCGGCAATGGAGACCATTTGCGATTTTTGCGAAAAAGGCCGAGCCACTGTCTATTGCAAAGCGGATTCCGCTTGGCTCTGCCTCTCGTGCGACCGAGTAGTTCATTCTGCGAATAATCTCTCCCTTCGCCACCATCGCACGCTGCTTTGCGACGGATGCAACGCGGAGCCAGCCTCTGTGCGATGCCGGGACGAAAACCTTTCTCTCTGCCCGGATTGTGACCTCGCGTCTCACAACGCAAATCCGTCCGGCGCGAACCACAGCCGTCACGTGTTTGAATGTTTCACGGGCTGCCCGTCTGCAGCGGACCTGGCGAAGCTATGGGGTTGCGACATGGCTCAACCGCCTCCACTCCTCGAAGTGCAAAAAGCCCAACCCGCCTCCTCCACTTCCACCGCCGGCGGTGGCGCCTTAACTTCCGCTCACGCCTTTCTCGCCGCGCTGGATCCCGACACCTCTCCTCAGCCGGCGGAACCTAAAAAACCTACCCCGGTTTCTCAGATGTCACGCCCGGCCGTAGTATTACCTCGTGTGTCGACGAATAACGTCGCGCCTGGAGCTCCTTTATTACCCTTCTCCACCGATGTCATTCCCGCGGAGGCGATTCAACGGTTACGAGCGAGTCAGGGGAATCCGTTAACGGACCCGAGTTCAAGAATATCCCCTATTCCGGGAGTTATTCCTAAATTCGGACGCCAGAGTGGTTCCCGAGATGGAGAATCTCCAAATTCAGAAGTCGTTACCCCACCAATAGCTACCGCAGGGGTTGGTACCGCCGGAAGGGCAAGCGCAGGAAGTTGGGGAGCACCGGTAGCCGTTAACCAGACGGCGCCGTCAGCCGCCGTCAGCTTACCGGCCGACAGGCGCGCAGTGCCTCCGAGCTCGAATGTGGCCGTCAAAAGCGGCGACGCGCAGGTGAGAAGAGGATGCTTTTGGCCGGTAAATCGCGACGCGGTACAGTGAATTAAGTGGTCGGTTACGCTCGCATGTGCCATGTGTTGCTTTTGATACGTCTCAAAACTGGAATTGCGTGTGTTGCGATGAGAACATTTTGTTGCTTTCACTCTTTCTCCACCTTTTTTTGTTGGGAACATTCTTCTAGGGTTTCCTCTTCCGTCCCGCCCTCATTCCCACCCTCGCCGTCTCCTCCCCTGCGCTCGTTATGCTCCAGGGAATGAAAGCAGCAGCTCCTTGGAACAGCCAGTACCCTGCAGCATCTCCCATGACTGCTGCCTCTCCCATGCTCGCCGTACCTGGCGCGTTCCCCTTCCGGCCGCAATCAGCGGCGCCGCAGTCGCCGGAGCAGCTGCTCAGCCAAGGCTCAGGCCCGAGGCTAGGTCCGGGCCCAGGTCGGGGGTCAGGTCCGGGCCCAGGTCCGGGGTCAGGTCCGGGGCCAGGACAGGGGTCAGGTCCGGGACCAGGTTCGGGGCGAGGCTCGGGTCCAGGTTCGTTGCGAGGTGCCCTAGGGGGTGTGAGTAATGGCGGCGTGAGAGGTGATATATCGGCCAGCTCGCTACAGACGATTTCGAGGATCATGGCTCTGTACCCGTTGGATTCTTCCAAGCAGAAGCAGCAGCAGCAGCAGCAGCAGCAACAGCAGATGCAGCAGCATCAGCAGATGCAGCAGCTGCAGCGGCAACATATGCAGGCGCTAGTGCAGCAGCAGCTGCTGCAGCGGCAGAAGCAACAGTCACAGCAGCAGCAACAGCAGCAGCAACAGCTGCAACAACAGCAGCAGCAACATCAACTGATGCAGGAGCGTCAGCTAGAGGCGAAGCAGAATCTAGAAGAGGAACAGCAGCTGTCCCTTGTGGAGCGGAGGCGGCAGATGCTTCAGTTCGAGCAGCATCAACGGCTGTTGCAGCAGCATCAGCAGCAGCAGCAGCAGCAGAACCATCAGCAGCAACAGAACCAGCTGCAGCAGCAGCAGCAGCAGCAGCAGCACCTGTTGCAACTGAAACGGGCGAACTCAACAGCAAGCAGGGAAACCATGGAGTGGCACGACGCCATGGCAGGGCACGGCATGGCAGGGCACGGCATTGCAGGGCACGGCATGGCAGGGCATGGCATGCGATCCAGCCCTCACAACCCCCTCTTTCCCAACACCCAAATCCCTCTCAGTCCCCCCGCCCTAACCGCTTCCGCAATGACCGCCCCTATTCCCGCTCGCCCTGCTGCCACTCCCGGCCATCCTGCCAACTCTGCCGCCACTGCCCCCTCCCCTGCTCCCTCTGCCTCGGCTTTGGCGCCAGTCATCTCTGCACCGACCGCCCCTGCTGCGTCACTGCCGGCAGCGTCGCAGAACAGGCAGTTTATCCGATCCTACTCTCTCCACACAGACGCCCAGTCCCCGGTGTTCCCACGCGTGGTTAGAGCGCCCACTCGCGGCAACACGAATCACACCGGCGCTCCTTCTGCTGCCGCTGTTGCTGCCCTCTCCGACCGCGACCTGAATTTCCACCTGAGCCAGATGGCCAATCGGAGGATCGCCCAGGAGATCGCGCAGTCCAGGCGGACAGGAGGAGCGGGGGAAGCAGGAGGAGTGAGCACCGCAGGCGGGGTGGGCCGAGGGGGTGTAGGCTCCCCGATGGTTCTCGAGGCGTCACAGAAAGGCAGCAGAGGGGGGATGACCGCTGGGGGGGTGACCCCTGGGGGGGGGATGGGCAGATTGGGGGGATCCAGGGTAGGGAGGAAGCGGAGCTTCGGAGTAGAACCAGCGGATTTCCCCATGGGGACGCCGAGCTTGGAGGCTGGTGTCAGGAGTGAGAGCGCTGCTGGCGGCAGGAGTCACAGCACTGCTGGTGCCGAGCTCTGCGATGGCAGCGGTAATGGGTACGAGGTGGGGACTCCGTCCCGCGCTGCTGCGCCTGGAGTAGCTGAGGAGAAGTTTTCTGGAAAGCGGCATGCCGGGGGGCTGACGTGTGCCAGCCGGGAGTCACTCCGCGTGGGCGGAGAGGGGCCAGAGGGGGTATGCAGCGCGGGGCCTACAGGAGTAATGGCTTGTTTTGAGAATAATCAGAATGCGCGTGCGAAAGGAGGAGGTGGTGCGGGGCTGACAGGCGAGATGGCGCAGACAGGCGAGTGCGGAGGTGTGGCAGGAGGGGCCGGGTGGGTTCGGCAGCAGCAGGAGACAAAGGAAGAGTTGAAGCAGGAGTTGCTGCAGGAGCTTCATTCGCAGCGGATACAGTTAACACGGGAGCAAATGCAGCAGCTGAGTCAACGGCAGCAGATGCTGCAGCCGCAGTCACAGTGTGGGGTGCAGGGGGAGCGAGCACCAGTGGAGCGAGCACAGGAGCCGCAGGTGCCTGTGCATGTAGTTGGGAACTCCGCAGTGTCAAGGAGCCAGGAGGCCCATGGTAGTTCCGCAGAGGCGGCTACTCTTAGTCCGGCAGAAAACTCTGCAGGAAGTCGGGATGTTCCGGGCACGGGAGCGTGCAAAGCGACTGCTGGTGTGGGAAGAGGAGAGGTGGATGCTGCAGGAATGTCTGCTCCTGGCTCTGCAGCAGCAGCAGCAGCAGCAGCAGCACCAGGGGGGGCAGCAGCGGCAGCAGGGCGAGGAGGAGGAGGAGGAGCAGCAGCAGCAGCAGCAGCAGCGGAAGTGGAAGCAGTGGGTTCGGGTCCGTATGACGTGGCAGTAGCATCGAGCACACTGGTGGATGCGGATGATGACCCATTGGACCAATCCGTGCATGGCAGCAACATGCTTCAAGCCCATGTGATGGGTGAAGGCCATGCACATGGCATGGACGATTCACACAGTCAAGACATGGCAACGCTGATGGACGCAGAGATGGGCATGGGGATGAACATGAACATGGGCATGGGCATGGGGATGGGGATGGGGATGGGCATGGGCATGGGGTTCCACATGGAGGACATGGATTTCCCCATGCCGCTTCCCGGCTGTGATGACATTTTTTCACTCCCTGATTCCGACTTTGGAGGAGTCTTCTGTGCTGCATCTGGTGCTGGGGCTTACGCTGCTGGGGCGTATGCTGCTGCTAATGGGGCTGGGGCTGGGGCTGGGGCGGGGGGCGGGGGCGGGGCTTTCACTGCTGCGGGTGCGTTTGCGGGGTCCACTGGGTGCGGCAGTGCGGCAGCTGATGCCTGAGAAGCGAAGCATTTGCATTTTGCACACTTTTCCACTCCACTCCTTTCCTCCACTCCGTCCCCTCTTTCTCCTCCCGCACTTTGCCTCTTCCCCTCTCTTTCCGCCACCACCTCTGTGCAATAGCGCTAGACCCCTCCCCTTGCCTTCCATGCAGCTCTTGATTCGTTGCTGCTCTTTTGCATTTTGCACTTGCAAGTTTTGCTATTTTAGGGTACTAGAATAGAAATGGAGGCTAACTCTACCATTTTTATGGCTCCACTGGTGTTCTTGCTTGTGCCACGGACACAGCGCACCATCAGTGTGCAGCATTGCATTTTTCCGTGTGACTGCTTCAGTCACGTGCACACTGGCTGATTCTGTTGCATGAGACGACTGATTTGTAATTTTGTGGTGAGCCGTAACTTACATGTTTATGGGTACCGGTATCTAAGCATGTCTGTTGTGTGCATGCTTGCTTTATTCTTCATCTTTGTATTTACTTGGCATCTACGTGGCATCTACAGGATGAATCTAGCACTAATGATTTTTCTTGCATGATATGATACCAACTTGTTAGCAATTGAGTTTTTATAGATGCCGTCAACATCGTACAAGCAATTCTGTTCTTGTACAGCATACTGTTCTTCATTTACCATATCGCGTCAGCGAGTTGCCGAAGCCAGGGGTTGACTCACCGCCAGGGAACCAGGGGTTATCGAGGGGAGTGTCTACTCAACCCTCGTGACGGAGTTCGATTCGACACGCTCGAGTCGAGACCGAAACTTGATAGGCGAGTTCCAACCAAACGACACCGCGGGTCTCGGTCGTCAAGACGAGCTCGTTCAACCTCGTCAAGCCCAGCAAGTCCACCCTCTCTTTCCAACTTGAACCCTGCGAGGGGGGGTTACGAGCAGGGCTATTGCTAGGATTTTTGCTAGCTCGGACGATCCGGGCCCCTGTGGAAAAGACCCTGTAAAATCCGAGCCAGGGGAAAAAAAGCCTTCACAAATCTGGGTTCTAGTCAGAAAAGGCCTGAAAACTTGCATTACCAGAATTTCGCGGGATGGGGAAGAGATCGAGAAAATCACGGCACTAGGTCTGGGGAGGTTGGGGATGAAGGGCGGCTCTAGAGGGGTGTAGAGAGACTGTTTTCAGACTTCGAAAAAAAATCTCTGGAGGATTCAGGTATAAGCCATGCCTACTTAGGATGGGGCAATCAGACACTTGAAGGCCAAACCAGGAGAGAGTGGTAAGGAAACACCACTACAAGTGCCCACACATAGCACACGGAGAGAGGGAGGGGGAAGCAAAGCAGTTCGGGGAGAAAAAGTGTTGCTAAAACTATACGGGTCCCCTCGGAAACCTCCCGGAGGATCCGAGATGTCTCAAAAATCACCCTTCAGTTTTAAGGGCTGGCTCAAAAAATCACCTAGTGAAAATCAGGGCTGGCTGGAAAAAGCCCTATAATTTAAGTCAAAACAGGGTAATTGCCCTGATAACGTGAGCCCTGGTTACGAGTGCGAAGGAATCATTCAATACACAGAAAGTTACAGTACGGTTACTTACGTTATCAATGCGGTAAACACCATACCGCATTTCTTTTCACCAGAGTCCACTTTTGAGTTCCTCGTTGGGCTTGCCGAACGAAGGTGCCAAGCGAAACGACCCCCCCCGACAAGTCAGCAGCAGACGGAAGCGAAGATTCAGCAACGTCGCTCTTTCGCACAACCCTTGGAGGCGTCGCTTGGTTGGTGGCTTGGTTGTCGCCCCGCTCGCTCACTCACTCTATTCGGGCTGAGGACGTCTGTCGCTTGCTTGCTCTCTTCCCCCCCCCCCCCCCCCCACCCCCTTTCCCTTCCTCTCCTTCCTTGTCCCTTCACTCTCTAATCCATGCCGTGTGCCCCACGGCCTTCCACGCACGCACACTCTCCGTATATAAAATAGTCGCACTCACTCGTTCGAATCCATCATTCAAATCTCCTTACGACCGTTTCAACTGCAAAGTTACCCGACTCGCCTATAAGGGTTTTTTACTTGTTCTTCTCACTGGTTCTCTTGACCTCCTCACTCGTTCTCTCGCCTTTTTGGATTGAAGCATTCGGTCAGCTGAGATGGATTATGAAGTGCCGCTGTTAGGCGCACACCAGACGAGCGGTGACGAAGAACACGAGCAGCAACAGCAGCAAGAGCTACAGGTTCGTCAGCAGAGCTTATCACCGTCCGATCCAGATTCCTCACGAGCCGCGGCGGCGTACAGTCGTCCCGGGGACTCCGCCGCCGCATTTGGCGGCGATTGGCGCGGAAAGCTCGCGGCTGTCGGGCAGCGCGTGCGCGCGTCGAGCGCGGAGCTGGGGAAGCGCGTCACGGAGGCCGCGACAGCTGTCGGAAGCCGATTGGAGGAACAGGTTTCCGTAGTCGGCGAGCGCGTTAAAGACCTAGTTCTGCCGACCACGCAGGCGGATATATTAGTAGACCGCGCCACGGCGGAGGAGCTGCTCGCTCCCCATTGGTCCACCGTCCTGCAAATCTCCCACCTCCTTCAGAATGGCCATGTTCCCGGCGGCGACGTCGCACGGGCTCTGCGACGTCGCCTGGCGACGCGGGATTCGCATGTGCAGCTGCTCGCGCTGGCGGTCGCGGAGTCGATTGTCGGAAGCGCGCCGCAGGTTCTGGGGGACATTGCGCGGGAAGGCGTTTTAGGAGACATGGCGCGAATGGCGGTGGAGCCTAAGACGCAGGCGCGCGTCAGGGAGAATATTCTAAGACTGATCGAGGCGTGGGCTGCGCCGATGGAGGCGACGCGGTACTTCCCCGCGTTCGAAGAGACGTTTAGGGTGAGTGGTGGGTGGTGTGGGGGATGAGGGGAAGACATGGGTGGGAGAGGGGGGGGGGGGGGGGGGGGAGGGGGAGGAGAGCGGGGAAGGGGGTATAACGGCAACCTTTACATCGAAAAGTTATTTACGTGAGCGCGGGATGGGAAAAGTAGGGGGAAGAGGGGTGGGGCTGGATTTTTCACCACCAGGGTGATGTTTATTTAATGGTAAGCGAAGTGTGGGGGAAATGTGGTGAAACAACTAGATGAATTTGGATCAGGGACACCAACTTGCCCAAGCACCATGCAAGCAATTCGTGAGACGTTTAATGAATCAGTGACATTCAGAAACTAGATGAAATTGGATAGAGACGTTATTTCACTCAAGCACCATGCAAACAATGCCTTTTGAGTCGACTCAAAAGTCACCTCGCACCATGCAAACAATGCCCGTATGTGCCTTTCTTGTTGTTCTCCTTGCAGCAATGCGATGCTCTCGCAGCGTTGATGTGCTGCTGCTAACCCCACTGCACTGAGTTGACTCCATAACTTAGCTCGCCCTTGCAGCTGCTGCTTAATGTGCCATTAAACCCTTTGGGGAAATGGGCTTGAGCAGAGGAGAGGATAGGAAGGAAACTTAAGCTGTGAAAACCGTTGTTTGTTGATTTGAGGAGTAAGGGGTCATGGGTTCAGTGGAACGGGCAGCACACCCGAGCACTGGATTCCCTGAGGAAGGAAACGCCATTATGTGTCTGGATGTTGCGCCGTCACACCTTTTTGGGGTTACCCTGAAATGAGGCCGGTGCAAGTGCATATGATCTAGAGCGTTATTTGGCAGTTCATTAGGTTCTGATGGTCTGTTGATTTGTTCCTTGTGATTTGTCTTGTGTACATAGTTCTCTTTATTTACACTTTGTAACACCAGCTTTGAATGCCAATTTTGCTGCCAGCAATCGCTCCTGGGCTGGGCTTATTCACGTGCACCTGATTCTCACTCCCCTCTGTGTAGCATTTCGACCATGCTGCCATCCATGCTGCCATCCATGCTGCCATCCATGCTGCCATCCATGCTGCCATCCATGCTGCCATCCACGCAAGCCGTGCAATCCATGCAAGCCATTCTGCTATCACGTTCCTTGCTCCTGCTTCCTCCTCTCGCCCAATCTATCTCCCCCCACCCTTTTCCTCATCTCATGCGCCCTCCTCCCCCCCTCCCACACAGTAATTCAAAGAGAGAGGGGTCAACTGCACCTCGTCCATTTTTCAAGTTTCTCCTGTCTCCTCCCTCTCCCCCATTTCTATTTCATTACCATCATCCGAAACTCAAGGAGAAAGGGGTGACTTTCCCTGTGGTCACTTTTTTTTAGTCCACTCAAAAATTCCCTCACCCCTCCTCCCTTTTGCCCCCCTGGTTTTATTTCATCACCATCATTATCAGGAGCTCAAGGAGAAAGGGGTGACATTCCCTGTGGTCACTGCACCCCCTCAGCGCCACACCCCCTCCCCCCTCCTCTCTTCCCCCTCTCTATCTCATCACCATCACCAGGAACTCAAGGAGAAAGGGGTGACTTTCCCTGTGGTCGCTACACCCACTCAGCGCATCCCCCGGCTCCTCCCCTTTGAGTCCGTTATGGGAGACGCTTATAGAGGGGCAGGGCGCATCCACATCACCAGACCTCCCTCCGAGCTGCCAAACCAGCACCGGGAGATCATTGCCATGCCTGCGAACTTCCTTGCCGGACCTAACGCCCAGGTTCGGGGGACCACACCGCACGTGAGGTTCGTCGTGCCTGGTGGTGGCGGCGGCACTGCTGGTGCTGCTGGTGCTGCAGTTGGAGGGGGTAATGACCACGCACACAGGCATCGTCATCATCATCACAATCACCATCAGCGGCAGCGGGAGGGGGCGGAGGAGGCAGTGTGGATGGGTGCGGGAGAGGCAGAGGCGGATCCTAAGACAACTTTTGCAATGGCAAGAAACGCTGCAGACCTGCTCACTACCATGCTCACATCAGCGCCTGCAACCGAAGCTCTCAGGGTGAGCCTTAATTTGAGACGTCTCCAAAGGCGACCGCTTTGATAGCTAGATATGCCACAGACCTGCCCACAACCATGTTCATGTAGCGTGTGTGTGCAACCGATGCTCCAGGGTGTGTTGCTTCTTCTCGCCTCAACCTCTGTCTTTCTCTCTTTCCCTCACCTCCTTTCTTGCCTCCCCTTCTTTTCCTCACCGCCCTCCTTTTCCTCTCTTGCTTTCCCTCGCTACGTTCCCTTGCACCTCTCTCGTGCCCCGCACCTATCTCGTCCCCCTCTCTTATCCCAACAGGATGTAGCTGTGCTCCTGTCTCTCTCTCCATCTCAATCTCCTGTTTAGGGTCCTCCCTCGTTCTCTTTCCCTCTCTTATCCCAACAGGAGGAAGCTGTGGTGTAGCTTGCCGCCCAGTGCCGGGCGGCAAGGCGTCCCTTGCTGCAGCTGCTGCAGCAGGAAGGAGTGTTGGCAGATGATTCGCCCCTGTTTGATGGCCTCTCCGTCACTGATAACCAGGACACTGATTCTCATCATCGTCCCCTCTTCCCATCGCCTCCCCGCCTGCCTTTTTATATTTCTCTCGCCTCCCTCCCTTTCCCGCTACTGCCCACACAGGACGAAGCCGTGGTGTCACTTGCCGCCCAGTGCCGGGCGGCAAAGCGTTCGTTGCAGCGGCTGCTGCAGCAGGAGGCGGTGCTGGCAGATGACTCGCTCCTGTTTGACGGCCTATCCGCTGTTGATGACGTGGATGCCGCCCTTGCCAGGCTGGCAGCCATGCGGGATGAGGTGAAGGGGGCTCAGGGGAAAAAGCACCACAGACGGGGGAGGGGAGGGGGGAAGGGGAGGGGGAGAAGTGGGGGGGAGGGTGCTGGGGAGAGTGGGGAAGGGACAGGGGGGGTTGCTGAGTGGGTGATGGGGTGTGGAGGAGAGGGGGTTGGTGGTGGGAGTGGAGAGGGGGGGAACGTAGGGACCATAGAGGAGGGTGAGGATGAAGGGTATGAGAGTGGGGAGGAGGAAGAGGAGGAAGAGGAAGGGGAGGCATCGGAGAGAGGGAGACGCCCTTCTTTGGAAGGAGATGGAGAGGGTAAGGCGAGTGGTGGGGAGGGAGAGGACAGGGGAACACAGGAGGAGGGCGGAAACACAACAGTCAAGGTTGGAGAAGTGAAGGATGGGGATAGCTCATTTGGAGGAGAGGGGGGTGTGGTGGAAGGTGGGGGTGTGATTGGAGCAGGAACTGGAGCAGTGGCAATGGAGGGGAGGTTGGCTAATGAGATGCGTGCTGGTGGAGTGGCGGTAGGTGATTCTGCTGCTTCTCCTGCTGGTGAGGGTGGAGTGGCAGAGCAGACAGAAGGGAACAGTGAGGTGTATTTCTAAAACAGGAAGGGATGTGTATCTGTTTTGTGCATTTAATGGCAAGAAACATAACATTGTGATTCTATCTGCTGAAAAAGGGTGTATGGGTCTGAGGGTCTTCCATCTGAACTTGTCCCTAACATTTATGTAAAACAGTCATGTTCAATAGCTATATGATGAACAGATATTATATTCACCATAAATAGTATACCCCTGTGACAAGTGTCATCACAGATCATGCTACTATCGAGTATACGACTCTTTTGACCTGGCTGAACTCGCCGAGGCTATTGACCCGCCACCAAACCCCCTTCGTTTGTCCCCCCCACCCCGAGCCGACGTGTCGCTGCAGGCAGCAAAACATGGGGTTTATTTGCCAAACTTCTCCCAAACCTTCAGCTGATTCTCATGACCCGCCATAACCCTGCTTACCGAAGCACGACAAGTTGGTTCGGCAGTCACCAACAGCTCCCTTCTTTCCCTCTCTTCCCTACCTCGCCTCATTCCCACCTTCCCGCCACCTCCCTCACCCACCTTACCCCTGAAACTAGTGACAAGACGAACCCCCCAGTTTATATTCCCCGACTAGGAGAGCAGCAACCTTGGTCTAACGTTCTGGAATTCCGCCTTTATAATCACCTAATACTTTTCCGTATCTTCTGATTTTTAATCAACTGTTCCACTTACTCCGCGTTTTGAGAAGCGGAAAGTGTCCACAGATAGTCAGCAGCTGAGTTGTATTCTTCTCTGCAGAGTTTGTGAGTCCATTGTTACGTAGTTAAGTTCTTAGCTCCGGTAGCAGATACAATAAATTAACGAAATGTTAAGCTTTTCCATCTCTCGAGGATCCGCCGATATACTCGTTGAGAAAGCGACGAACGCGGAGCTCCTCCCTCCTGATTGGTCCACCGCCCTCCAACTCTCGACTGTACTCGAAAACGGCACGATTCGTGGGAGCGACGTCATGCGATCGCTGCGACGTCGCCTGGCAACGCACGACGCGCACGTGCATCTCCTGTCGCTCGCCGTCGCAGAGTACGTGGTCGCAAGCGAGCCGCACATCCTTAAGGACGTGGCGCGCGAAGGCGTGCTGGATAAGATGGTGCGCATGGCAGGAAAGAAGAAAACCCCGGTGCGCGTGAGAGAAAATGTGGTGCGGCTGATCGCGAAGTGGGCGACAATGGAGGAAACGCGATACTTGCACGACTTCGAAGAAGCAATCAGGGTGAGTTGATCGTGGCTGTGCGGCTCCCGACACGGAGGCTTGTTGGTTGTGTCACCCTGTCATTGTTCGTGTCGTGGTCATCGTTGTAGATTAAGAAAAAGAAAAGAAGAAGAAAAAAAAAACGACAACCTTTGCGAAATACGTACAGTACACAAATGAGTGTGCTGTTGAGTCAAGTTTCTGAACCCTACCTTCAGTTAGGGTTTCTGGCGGTTTCGTTGTAGACAGACTTCCTAAGCCTCCCCTCGTCGTTTCCTCTCATCCTTCCTCCCTTGTTCCCGTCCACCATCTCGTGCAGACATTCATGTTGGAGATTGAGTGTGTTGCAAGCAAGTGGTGGTGGGGCGGTTGTATGCCCCCAACCCACCGAATGTGTGACTTGTGCTCACGTTCGTGTGAGGTGCAGGTTTCGTGAAGGCTCTAGGTTGACTTCGGAAGAACCTAGAGTTCGGTGCCATGTGGCGGCACCACATTCCAACTCGGACTCAAGGAACATTCGTTCGGTGAAATTCGAGGTTCGAATTTCACCCCTTCGATGTTACTCGAACATTCGAGTGTACCGCGGTTCGAGGTTACATATGCGACTCGATGTTTGCAGTTCATATATATTTGTGTGCTTTGTATTGCATGGAACATACTTCAATCGAGAATCACTTTGTACACAGTGCAAGTCGACACAAAATCCAGAGAGCTCCTATCCTACGTTCTAACAGCACCACCTAGCACGTGAACGCCTATATCTCGGCGGATACTTAGGCGATCGACGTGTTCTACGGCTCGTTGGAAAGCTAGCAGAGTGCTCTACTGCTTAGAACAACTCCCAGTTCCTGCAAGGTAGAGGAGAGTCCTTTACAACAGTGGTATCAGAGCAAGTCGGAGGAGTCTACGCGCGTGACAAGGAGCAAGCATGATGACGTCAAGCGAGGCCTCCCGCACTTCCTTGGATGGTGTCGTTGTAAATACCGGCGAACCCTGGGCAACCGCGACGATGTTCGACACGTCGGCGGTACCGATTTTCACGGGACAAAACTACTCCGCGTGGAAGTTTAAGTTCCAAGTGCTCATGATGGAGCGGGGACTTTGGGGTTTCTTCGATGGAACGGAGAAGAAGCCGGACGACAAGAGCAGCATCGCGGCATGGAAGAAGAAGGACCAAAAGGCGTTCGCTACGTTGATTTCGCGCATCGGCATCAATCTCGTGAGCTCGGTGCGCATGTGCATCAAGCTCGAAGCGTCGGCGCATGAAGCGTGGAAGCGGCTCGAAACCATCCACGTGAACAAGACTCTCCACGGCAAGATCCTAGCCCGGAACGCGTTCTACACGGTGAAGATGCGCGCGGGCGAATCGATGCACGAGTATGCGACTCGTGTGGAGGAACTCGGGGAAACGTTCATGGACCTCGGTGGAACGGTCACGGAGGAGGATTGGATATTGACCTTGCTTTGCGGGCTTCCGGAAGAGTGGTCGACGGTGATTACGACACTCGATAGCGTGCAAGATACTTGGACGAAGGAAATGGTGGTCGGTCGGCTTCTCCATGAAGAATCGCGTCGCCGACAATTCGCGAATGAGAGCGAGGGGACCGTCATGTACTCCGGAGGGAGTTCCGGAAAGAAGTCCAAGTGGAGCAAGGGTGCGACGAATGAATCGTCCGGTGGGAGCGAGCATCGCGGCAAGTGTCACTATTGCCGCAAACCGGGACACTTTTGGCGTGAGTGTCGGAAGCGGCCGAGCGATTGGACTCCATCGATGGCGCGGGACCAAGAGGGCAACACGCACACGGCATCCGGCGAGGCCGATGATTCAAAGGAGTCGCTCGTGTTAGTGGCCGGCAACGGGAACAAAACTCCAAGCGACGCGTGGTTCCTCGATACCGGCGCAACGCAACACATGACGCACTCGGCGTCGCTCCTGAACAACATTGGCGCTCCGGGAGACGTCACGAGCATCGTGTTCGGAAACAACGAATCTCTACCGGTGGTTGGAGTTGGGAGTACGCGCCTCATCGTCGATAGCGGACCGGTGGACGTCACGAACGTGCTCACGTCCCAGGGGTGAAGGTGAACCTTCTATCCGTCCCGCAACTTGCGAAGAAGCGCGTGATCGCCACCATCGACGGCGCGAAGATGAACCTCTTTTGGAAGGGGGAGAAATTCGCGCTAGGTGTTCTCAACGGAGATATCTACCAACTCAAGACGTACCCGAGAGCGACTTCATCCAACGTGGCGCAAGGCTCCAAGGCGACTCTTAAGGCGTGGCATAATCGGCTTGCGCACGCCAACTACGAGTCGGTCAAGGAGTTGGCCAACAAAGGACTTGCGAAGGGAGTCGACGTGATCGCCGGCGACGACGAGAAAGGCGTGTGCGCGGCGTGTGTCGAAGGAAAAATGGCTCGGAAGCCATTTGGTAGCCGTACCTCTCCCCTCGCTAAGGACTCGCTTGCGCTTGTTCACATGGACGTGTGTGGACCAATGCGGTGCGCATCAAAGGGAGGAGCGCGGTTCCTCTTGGTGATGCTCGACGACGCAACGCGGATGTGTTGGACCCGACTCTTGAAGGCTAAGGGCGACGCAGTCAAGGCGATTCAAGAGTGGGCGCTCGAAGTTTGCGACGACGACAAGAAGCGGATCAAGTGTATTCGCACCGACGGTGGGGGCGAATTCGTGAACGCGGAGCTTGAGAAATGGATGAAGATCAAGGGCATAAAGCACGACGTTACGACACCCTACACACCCCAACAAAATGGAGCGGCGGAGCGGCTTAATCGCACGTTGGTGGAAGCCGTTCGTTCACTACTTCAACACTCCAAGCTTGGGAACGAGTGGTGGGGAGAGGCGAGTGCGCTAGCGGCATGGATTCGTAATCGTGTGCCGACAAAGGTGCTACCGGGAATGACTCCGTTTGAAGCATGGACCTGGGGAGGGATCTGGCGGGCCAGGAGAAGGAAGCAATGAGGTCGAGGAAGTTGATGGGATCGCTGATGGGAATCCGAAAGCAGAGGTAAGAGGGGAGATCGAGGAGGTTGTGGAGGCGGCAGAGAGTGAGGCGAGTGAATTGAGCGAGGCAAGTGAGCCGAGTGAGAGCAACAACAGTAGTGACGTTTGTACCGACGATCGTGAGAAGCGAGAGGATTCAGAGGCGCGGCTTGGGCAGCAGCAGGGAGCACTTAGGCAGTTTGAGCCCTTACGGGGTGAGGATGCTAACAGGGAGGAAGTTGGTGTCAGGGAGCCGCAGGTAGAGGGACTGAAGCAAGTAAATTGCTGTTCAGACGGCGATGAGAGTGAGGAGTGTGAGGAGGAAGGGGTTCCGCTGGAACGGAGGAGGGTTTGCAAGATGACACAGCGGGCTGGTGAAGAAGAGAGGATTGAGAGAGACGAGGAAGAGAGTAGTGGAAGAGGAGAAGTGGGTACAATTGAAGGGGTAGAGGGGGAAGAGGTTTGAATTGAAGGTAGCGGGGGCTATGAGAAGAGGACGAGGAGATAAAAATAGAAGGTGGACGAGAAAAGATAGGGCCACGTGGCCATAGGATTAGTAAAGGGAGGGAGAGCAAGTGGTGCGAAGGGGAGGAGGGGCTACAGAAGAAAATGCATTTGCATTCGCGTGGGTGGATAAGTTGAGGCTGGCATGTTGTGTGAATGAAGGCGTTAGTCTGGTTTAGTTGTATTAAGTTGAGTTAAGCATAGCGCTGATTGTATGTAGTGATGGTTTTGCACCTTCAAAAGATAGGAAATTTTGGATCTGACTTTACCATGTACAACACATTACATCAGGCCTCCTCGACCATTCATAAACTTGCGCCACCACAACCTGCGCGCATTCCACACCTGCCACATCTGCAGCACCTCTCCTCCTTCCCGCCTTTCCGCCTGTACACCCAGTTTCTCAACGTTCGGACAATCGGGAGCCCCGGCTACAGTGCGAACGTGTGCTTGGAGTTTGCGGGCTGGTGCTTGCAAACGAACCCCAGGTAGGTGGCGGGCAAATGCAGTCCAGGAGAACGATACACAACGATTTATGAAAGAAACAATGCTATCGCGTACGGTTTATTGCGGCGAATTGTGCTTATATGCTATGTTCTGGGACCGTTTTGGACGCGTTGATGTCAGAATAAGCGGCACGTCAATACAGCGAATGTCAGTGTGGCGCGAAACAGGGTGTACCTTCCTTCCCTCCTCCATCCCATTCCATCCGCACTCCACCCACCACCTTCTCCCAACAACCCCCACCTCCTTCAGGCCCTGTTCAGACCAGACCACCAGACCCCTCGCTCCCTACCTCCCCCCACTGGGCCATTCCCTTCCTCCCTCATCCATTCTGCAGGACGAAGACTTCAGGAACTTCTGTCCACCATCTGCTTTGCTCAATCAGCATCTGCTCGTGATCGCAGCAGCCTGCTCATTGCCCAATCACCGTCTCCTAATCATGTCATTTCTCACACCAGATTGATGCGTACTGGCAAGCTCGCAACAGGCTTGGCTTGGCTGCTCTGTCGCGCTGCTGCACGTTCCGCTTGGAACTGTCATGCCATTCGCCCAGCTGTCCTCTAGAATCTCTCTGTTTCCAGAAGCACTGCATACACCTGGTGCGATGCGAGTCGCTGAAACGAGCGCGCCGCTTCATAGTTGATCTGTATGTCACATGTCAGCATGTGCCGTACTTGTCACTTTTGAGAATCTCAAAAGTGACACAAGCGTTATCAGTACGTCAGTACGTCACTTCACAGCGTGTGCCGTTCCGTACCGGTGGAACGCGGTGACGTTTTTAAGGTTTTCAGTACTGTATGTCACATCACAGCATGCGCCGTGCTGATGGAACGCACTACGGCTACTGTACGCGCACGCGAGCGCTGCATCTGCAAGGCACGTAGATGCAGCTCCGACCCAGATTTGTGATTTGTGTAGGATCGCCTTCATGGTTCATGTTTCATGATTGATTTGTGATTGACAGTTCACTATTTTTTTTTTCACTGGTCTGGGTCAAGTCAGCCGCGTTTTCTCTGCAACGCTGGCAGATGAAACTGACGTTGATTTTTTTTTTTTTTTTTTTTTCATTTTTCTTTCACGTGAGCAGGGTGCTGAGCACGTGAACCTTCCATTGAAAATGCCGTTGCATGGGCAACATCTGGCCGCATACGAGTACACCCTCATTCTCGATAGACTGGCATATGTTAGACTGACCGCTACGCTTTGACTGACAGCAACGCACCAAAGGAGGTCTTATCACAATGCATACAAGCACAATTTGTCGCCTCAATCATACCAGCCAGCTGGCCGATCTTGTTGACTGCACGTCTGACAACGAATGAGACGAACCGACCGAAATCACAATGACAGGGCATCTGCAATTGCAATTTTGGTGTTACTGTAGCATTTTGCCATTTGCAATGCGCGGACACTGTTTGATTTTGCCACCTCAACCCTGGTTTGTCGCCAACTTCACAATTGCCTGTGAAACGGTTAGGGGCACCATCGCGCTAGCTGTTCGCACTGTACACAGTGCGCGCGATGGTGAGAAAGGTGAGAATGAGGGTGTATTTCCCTTGATGCCGCGCCCAAATTCTGTTGGCGACGCGACGCAAATGTTACCTGGTCAGCCACTGGTCTGGGTAAAGTCAGCCGCGTTTTCTCCGCAACGCTGGCAGATGATGAAACTCACGTTGACCTTTTTTTTTTGTGTGTTTTTTTGTTCCATCTGGTTCTGTCCGCTGTATCTGCCTGCGGTCCATGGAGCGTCTTCAAGGAGCCTCCTTGGATCAACAGTAGTAGCGCATCTGCTGCTCACGAGTCGTGCTGTCTATGCCAGCTAAGCGCCAATGGTGGCCCGAGGGTTCGTAGGACTGGTTTGTGTCAACGCACGGGTGTTTCTGCTCAATCGTCTAGTACGATTGAAAGAGAGGGCGATTTGGCAAGACCTTTTCCGGAGTATTTCTAACCTCGAGATTTATTCAGCCGGAATGGCTCAGCGGTGGTTTGTTGAAGCGACGGTTGATGTGGCTTTACGATTGCTGCCTGCATGAATTCCTTTCCAGCACCGCCGTAACTAATGGTGGTACGGTCTATCAGAAGTTCACGATTACTACTAATGCTAGTTACGCATCATCTATCAGAAAAGAGACAGGAATACCATGGGATATTCTGTTGGCGGTGGGAACTGTAGCGTCGGCAGTAGTAAGAACGAGGATAATGCTAAGGAGGACGACAGCATCATCGGATACGAGTGCAACGGTACGGAGCGCAACAGTAACGAGGACAACGGTAACGAGGACAACGGTAACGAGGACAACGGTAAAGAGGACAACGGTAACGAGGATAACGGACTGATGGACTCAGAGTGGGCTCGTCGGATCATCGCGTCGCAGTGGAACATTCGAATCGGCATCCCCGAGGTGATGACCGGCCAGAGCTCTGCGGGTGCGTATGACGCTGCTGTTGCAACCACCAATTGTGTCCGTGTCACCACAGAAGGCTGTCGCGTCACTGCGAAAGGCGGTCCCACAACTGCGACTACAATCACAGCTACAACTGGTACGTCCAATGGTGTACGCCCGGGTGCTGCAGCTCGAGCTAAGCAGCTTGGTTTGAAGCAGGACGTCGAGAGGAAGGTTCGTGGAAGCCGTTGTGATTGGGGAGCAGCTGCCTTGATCACATCGACCCGAGCATCCAAGGCGTCTCAGAGCCATGGCTTTTTATTTGCTGGCACATGCCATGGTAGTCCCGATGCTGGCACATGCCATGGCAGCTGCAAAGGCGTTGCCGTCTCCAGGCAGCACTTGGCGTCTCCTTCATCTGCAGCTTCTCTTGCGTCCCCCCATACAAGCATTCTTGCTGACGACAGACTAAAAAGCGGCGATTTCAAGAGTCTGTGTATCATACAGCATCAGCAGCAGCAGCAGCAGCAGTACCACCACCAGCAGCAACATCAGCAACAGCAGCAACACCAGCACCAGCACCAGCACCAGCGGCACCAGCAGCACCAGCAGCAACAGCAGCACCAGCAGCACCAGCAGCAACAGCAGCACCACCAGCAGCAGCACCAGCAGCAACAGCAGCACCACCAACAGCAGCATCACCAGCAGCAGCAGCACCAGCAGCAACAGCACCAGCAGCAACAGCACCAGCAGCAACAGCACCAGCAGCAACAGCAGCAGCAGCAACAGCAGCAGCAGCAGCAGCAGCAGCAGCAGCAGCAGCAGCGGCGGCGGTTTGGCCAGGACAGTCTATCTCCCCGTCCGTCAGCCACGCATGGCCACACCCCTGAACACAGCGCGGGGAGTGGTGGTGCACGTGGGGAAAAAGGCGTGCACAGTGGGGGAATTAGCCCGCACAATTTGGGGCGTATTGGAACTGTAGCCAGCGCACGTTTGCGGCAGCTCACCACAGCAGAAGCGGAGGGCAGAACCGCAGCATCAAGTGCACCCGCAGCTTTTCTCACTACAGCAACCGTTGCAGCAGCCCACCGTGCAACAGCAACACCGAAGCCTAGTATGCTGTTGCAGCAGCAGCAGCAGCAGCAGCAGCAGCAGCAGCAGCAGCAGCAGCAGCAGCAGCAGCAGCAGCAGCAGCAGCAGCAGCAGCAGCAGCAGCAGCAGCAGCAGCAGCAGCAGCAGCAGCAGCAGCAGCAGCAGCAGCAGCAGCAGCAGCGAGGCCATAATCCTACATTCTTTCCTGAAAAATCCGCCTTTCCGGAGGCTGGGGAACGGGTTCAGGAATACTTTCAGAAGTCAACACAGGTCCATCGCGGCTCACTACCCAGCCCACCCCTTCGCCCCCCTCCCATCACGCCCTTTTCCTCCCCATCAAGTTTTGAAACTTCTCAAAACTCCCCTCCCAATCCGCCCGTTCTCTCCCCATCACCACCGCCCTACCCGCGCACGCATCGCCCCGTGGGGGTGCGCCGCTGCTCTCAGCCCAGCCTCCCAGCCCCGTCCCTCAGTGACCAGCTTCTCACTCTTGAGTCCTCGCAACCCACGCATCCCCCCGTGGGGGTGCGCCGCTGCTCTCACCCCAGCCTCCCAGCCACGCCTCTCACCGACCAGCTTCTCACTCACGCTGCACTGGCAGTTGCTCTTTCGCCCTCCCTTGCCGAGTGTGAGGATAGCAGAGAGATTGAGAGCAACAGACATTGTGAGCACAGCAAAGTGTGTGAGGGTAGAAGAGAGTGTGTGCGGCACACGCTCACGCACGAACAGAGGCAACCTGACGAGCGTAAGCATGAAAAGAGCCCATCTGCATGCCCATCTGCATACCCTGTGAACAACCCCCGAGCAAGACTTATAGTAGCTTCAGAGTTGATGCAAAAGGTAGTCGCAGATCCAGTAAGCACCTCTCATACCAGCCGGGGTACAGTGCCGTCAAGCCCATCACCACGTCCACTATCGAGTCTGCCTTTATCGAGTCAGCGATTGTTGAATCGCCAGCAGGCTAGTACTGGCCAGCAGTGTACGAGGCAGCAGTCAGCCAACCAGGAGCCCAGTAGCCAGCCAAGAGCCCAGCATACACGCCTGTACAGCGTCTCACCTCCATGGCGCGCCAGATGCGCAGCTGCTCCCCGCCGAGGCCTGGACCGAACACAATCTCTCAACATCCCGCTTTCCATGCTGCAGGCGCTCTCACTTGACTTGCCATCGCCTGTGCTGTTTCATTCCGCAGGCCACCCATGGCAGAACCACCCCGCTGGGAGAAGAAGCTTTGAATCTGCTCGTGAGTCGCTGGGTCTGCTGCAGACGGAGGCTCCTTCGCTGGGCATGCCATCGTCTGTGATGCATCATTTGGCAGGCCACCCATGGCAGGGTCAGCATGCTGGGAGAAGAAGCTTCGACTCCGCTCGTGAGTCGCTTGGTCTGCTGCAAACGCAGGTGCCTTCGCTGCACATGCCATCGCCTGTGCTGCATCACTCGTCCGGCCATCCATGGGACAACCACCCCGCTGGGAGGAGAAGCTTTGACTCCACTCGTCATACGCTTGGTCTGGATTGCCATGCCGTGCCTGCTCGTCACAGCTTCAAGCACACCAGCCGCAGTAACAATTCGCTCAGAGTGTGCACTGAGGCTGCTGATATTCATCCGAGAGGGCGAGGGGACAGCAGCGGAGATACTAGCAGCATTCGCAGCAGCAGTGGTACGGCATGTGCAGCAGCGGTGTTAACAGCAGCAACGGCAGGGTGCTATTGCAAGGCAGCAGCCACTAGCACGTGCAGGACACCAAGACTGGCTGTTGCAGTTGAGCCACCATCAGCGTGCCCTCGGCTAGTGCAAGCATCAGCCACAGACAGGAATCTCAGTAATCTTAGACAAGACTGTGGTCTTGAATCTGAATCAATATAGCTCACTGCTTACTTACCAAGGATGCCACAGGCAAGCTAGTTGTTACCTCATCATAGCACATGCAATGTGTCAGATACATGTTAAAGCGGTTCTGGAATTATAGAACCATCAATATCCACAGAACTGAACAATTAAGAAAGGAACACCCTTCCCCCGGTTTCTCCATGCCATACAGCCCACAGTTCCAGTCATTGCTACAGGTCATTTGTCAAGGGAGTGGTGGTAATGTTTTCGTTGGACTGTGTGTTGGTGCAACCCTACGGTTTGCACTCGGCTTGTTGTCCGTGTGCGTGAATGTGTGTGTGTATGGAATGGTATGAGGGCATGGGATAATATATATTTCATGCTTAAAATTGTGTGTGAATGTTGAGTCATGATGTCGAGTGTGTGTGTCGAGTCAATAGCGAGTTATCGCTAGACGCGTGTTACGCGGTCGTTTGTGTCTCGCGCGCGGTTTCTATTTTGTCGTGCGCGGTTTCTATTTTGTCCTGTGTCGAACGTTCGGCGTGTCGCAGGTGTGTGCAGCAGACCCATCAAGAACTCAAGGATGAGTTTGTGATGAAGAGCCCGAGCCTTGGTGTCAAGCCTCAAGTGATTTCGAAGCTCGCCAAAAGGGTACACCTCAAGATATTGAAGATAATTACATTACTTTGTGTAGTGTAACATTTCACTTGGTGTAGGCCCTAGTGAAGGGTAGTTTCGAGACCCTTCGTGGTTGGGGACAGTGTGGCACTGTTCCACATCACTGTACCTCGGCTCTTGGGGTTTGTAGGAGCTGGGAGTCATTCCCAACTCGTAACTCTTCCTATCTTGTGTTCTAAGACTATAGTGGCTGCCATAGTACCGTTCGTTCAAACCGACGCCGTGTCGTCAATTCTTTATCAAATCGTGCAATCTAAATTGCTAATTGTAGACGACGTGAAGACGCTCCAGATCCAGTTTGAATCAAGTCATTTGCAGCTGTGAGCAGAACGCTATCAACGTTTGAAGCCGCTATGCAGAAATCCGTCTGTGCTCTCTATCTTTCGTTTTAGGCACATTCAAGCCTATTGTGACTATAACAAGTGGTATCAGAGCCCCTTGGAGCAGTTTCGACAATGTCTGGACCTGAGGAAAGGGGTGGCAGAGGTGCTGGTGGCAGTGGAGAAGCTCAAGCTCAAGGCCAACCCCGTGATTCAGCCATGGCGCCCATGCAACCAAGTCTTGGCCCACCTAGGGATGAGCCTAGGGTGTTTGGGCTTGACAAGTTCAACGGTGACAATTTTGCTGAATGGTCCTTCAAGATGGAGAACATCTTTGACCACTATGACCTGCTGGAGGTGATGGAAGGAACGGAGAAGCGCCCCGAGAACGACCCGGAGAAGAGCCCGTGGGTGCGGAAGAGCGCACAAGGCTATCTCTTACTTGGGCAAGCGTTGGGGAGCAGTCAGATCCGTCACATCAAGCCATTCCAGCGTGAACCAGAGAAAGGACCAAAGGCATGGGCTGCTCTCAAGGGTGTACATGCTCCTGCAACAGCGGCGGTAGCGGTGGTGTTGGAACGGCAAATGGCGGCACTACGAATTGAAGAAGACGAAGCGGTTGAAGAAGGGGTGCAGAAATTCTTCGACTTGTTGACGCGGCTTGAGGGAGCTGATTTGAACTACAGTGAGCTCCAAAAGAAGACCAAGTTGCTGGCCTTACTCCCAGAGTCATGGTCCTCGCTCATCATCAACCTTAATCGCGACTTGCCCCGCCTCTCGCTTGAAGACGTGAAGCGAGCTATCCTTCAAGAGGATTTCCGCCGCCGTGAGTTGGCGAGTGCGGATGGCGCTGGGGCAGCGAGCATCGGCCGTGGATATGGTCGAGGAAGAGGCAGAGGACGAGGGGGAGGAAGGTTTGGTGGCAGCAACTTCGGCGGAGGCCGCAGGAGTGGCGGTTACGGCAGCGACGACAAGAGCTACGGACGCGGTCGCGGCCGATTCGACGGCGAGTGTCACTATTGCCACAAGAGCGGACACATGTGGCGCGACTGCTACAAACTCCCTGATGGTTGGACCCCTGCTCAAGGCCAAGAGGGTAGAGGAGCAGGAGGAGGGAGAGGACGAGGCCGTGGAGGCCGTGGCGGTCGCGGTGGCGGAGCTGCAAACATGAAGAGCGGAGACAACGACAAGGACCCGAGCGACGATCGATACCCGGGTCTATTCTACTTCGTGTCGACGCAAGTACCGGCTGGTCCAGAGAAGGATGAAGGCTTTGAGGAGCCAGCAGCTGTGGGGAAGGTGACCCTACACCCCCTGGACTATTGGGTGATTGATAGTGGCGCTACCTATAGCATGACACCTCGCCCGGACTTGCTCACCGAACTCGAGCCGTCACCGGTGAAGCATGTCACATCGGCTTTGGGGCAGCGAGCAGAGGTGAAAGGCATGGGCAAGGCCATGTTCAAGGGTGCTGATGGGAAGATGGTGGGCCTAAAGAACGTGCTTTGGGTGCCCAGCCTTGCTGCAAACCTGATTTCCGTGCGGCGGTTGGCAAAGGCCGGCATGGACACGAACTCGAAGGGAGCCAAGACCTACACCGCAAGGCTTGGCGATCGAATTCTTTGGGACCTTCATGAGGACAGGGATGTCTACAACGAGATGTGGCAGATCCCAGTGGTCCCTATGCCTAAGGAGAGGCAAGTGGCAGCAAGCATCAGCACCAAGGATGGAGCGGTCGGTAGCGACGATGGCGCGAACGGTCGCGCTAAGGAGAATGAGCTCAAGAAGAGCAAACCTGGAGGGACCAGCAAGTTCAGTGAACCTAAGGAGAGTGGTGCAGCAACCAAGGAGCAGCAAAAGGGTGAGGAGAACCCAGAGGCAGCAGCGGAGGAGGACTACGGAGAGAGTATGTGGGGCGCTATTGCGAGCGCGGCATTCTCCAAACCAACTTCGGCTACGGGGGAGTGTGATTGGCTCACCTTGCATCGGCGCATGGGGCATGTGGCCCTGCCCATCTTGCAGCAGCTAGTGAAGAATGAGATGGTTGCTAGCATACGTGTGAAGGGGGAGCCCGATGAGGTGCTTGGCTGCCCGACGTGCATTCAAGCCAAGTTCACCCGGTTTCCGTTCCCTAGTTCGGAGGCAACGGCAAAGGCACCGCTTGATGAGGTGGTGATGGACGTGGTGGGCCCCCTGAAGCTTGGAGCTGCTGGAGCTGAGTATTTTCTCACCATTGTCGACGTCTACACCCGCATGACTTGGGTGTACGTGCTGGCCAAGAAGAGCGACGTGGCTGAAACGTTGAAGACGGATTGGTTCCCGATGGTGGAGCGGCAACAAGACCGTCTAGTCAAGTCAATCCGCACCGATCGAGGGGGAGAGTTCCTGAGCAAGGAGTTTGGGTTGTGGCTGAAGAAGAATGGTATTCGGCACTCCCTCACCATGCCATACTCCCCTGCAATGAACGGCATCGCCGAGCGAGCGAACCGCACAATCACGGAGGCGGCACGCGGGTTGCTCATTGAAGCCGGGCTACCCGACTATTTCTGGCCTGATGCGGTGCGGAGCGCGTGTGTGGCCAAGAACAGAGCCTTGACTCATGTGGGAGCAGACAAATGGGTGCCCTATGTGGAGTGGCTAGGAAGGAAGCCAAAGGTGGATATGCTTCGGGTGTTCGGGTGCATGTGCATGGCGCTCGTGCCTAAGCATCTTCGGCACAACAAGCTTGGTGCCAAGGCGGTGTGGGCCGTGCACTTGGGCATGGCTAAAAAAAGCAAGGGATGGCTTCTTTGGGACCCATTCACCAAGAAGTTCTTGGTGAGCAGGGACTGCAAGTTCATGGAGAACTTCATGTACAAGGATTGGAAGGCGGAGAATGAGGCGAAGATAGGCGTGCGGTTTGGGGAGGTGAAGAGTTCCGGTTTGGAG